GAGATAAATTCTAACATGATATTGTTAACTTTGGGCTAAGAATAGTAAGTCAAATTATGTTATCTGCATAACGCTAATAACAAAGTAATATTCAACTAATCAGTAAATGTTGGTTTAGTTCTATTATCCTCGAAGTTAGTTTTTAAGTAGGAACAATATACCTCAGGAAACAAAGCATTTAAAAATTGAAATCCTACTGGGCGCTATTTTTCAACTGGAATATCTGGGAGGAAGTCAATAGAAAAGGCGTACCATCTCATGGTTATTGAAATTTTTACTGAGTCATTGTAGTTTTGTTAATATTTACGCAAAAATTTCAATATTATGAAAAACTTTGTAGATGAAAACATTTAACAGACAACTTTCTTGAAAATACTTGCTCTTTAAAGATTTTCTAAATTAAAAAAGTTATAAACCAAAAAGTTATTGTAAATTGAATCCAAAAGTAAGCATTTTTTTCAATTCTTTATAATAATTATTAAAATAAACAATAAACACATTTAAAACATATTTCACAAGGTGAGTTTTTATGTAGTTAATACATGATCAAAGGATGGGCCCTATTGGTTGATTAGTTTTTAAATTCTGTTTGTTTACCCCATTTGATAAAAAAAAAGGTCATTTTCAAATGGCTGTACAGGTATTTGCCAATTCATAATGGCAGTGGTAACTAGTGACTACTAAAAGAGGCAGACAAACCAATAAATTTACCAGGTACTGGATGAAAATGGATTTTTTTTTTCGTTTTTTTTGAGCACACTTTAATTAAAATTAACAGTATAATTAGATGACCGCATGGATAAAGAATTATGAAAATAAAGCAAACTTAAGGAGCTGAAATTTGGGTAGTTTGTCAATGAAGTTTCAGTTTTTCATTTAAAATTTAATCAAGTTTAATATATGCTTCACTGGTTTTATAGCGATAATGTTTTGGAAATTGAAAATGAAATAATTTATTTAAATAAAGATTAATATTTCTTCAAAATAAACCAATTCTTCTACTAAAACATAGACTAGGTTTCCCTTTCCTTGCGGTTTTAAATTCATCTCATTTAATCTTACTGCAATATCCACCATAAAGTAAAATTTTTGCAACCATTTGTCATTCGCATAATTCAGTTTGATTAATCCCTTTTTCACTTAGGAATGTATCTATTTCATTCAAGCACAAAGCAAAATGTTTTAACACCTTAGCTTTGGAAAGCCATCACACTTTATTGTGAAGAAGAAGCAAGTATAAGTGGCTGAGAGATAGAATTGGTGCCTAATCCTGATTATATAATTCTTTTTAAATGGTTTATTTTAGATCAAATAAATAATATTTACATATGAAAGAGACACAGCTTCACAGCCAAAGAGTCACAGTTTGTCATAATAGCATAATACCTGCACTTTATCAATCATCTAATTCAGACAAATACAAAAACTACTCAAATATTTGACAAAGTATTTACAATGTAAATTAAATTCACTTTTTTACTGTTTGTTTACATTGAATGAGTTTTAAAAGACTAAAAATGTTATTAGCATCTAATTAGACTATTTCTTAATCACATGTGTTTACTTCAATTTTCCCAGAGTAGAAATAATTAGATCTTGTTTTGCAATCTAAAAATTAATCACCACAAACACAAATGAAAGTTATTTTCTCTCAAGGCTAGTATTGATGGTAGTAAGATTGATATATTAATTAACTGCTTGCAATATTATTGGAAATTAAAGAATTACTCAACTGGGTATTTTTGTGCACATTTGAATAAATTTGTATTTTCCCAAAATATTCAAAACCATTATTTACAATTGAGTTAAAATATCTGCATAATATTTAGATACTTCATTAACTTCTACATGGTATGTCATTGTCATTATTTGATACACTTGACAATGGCTTATTTTAATCAGTTTTATGGGTATTCAAGTATTAGGTACAGAATTTGGGGGTGGGAGGGACCTTATTAAATGTTTTGGTATGTTACAGGGGTCAGGCGAGGGTTTGAACAATGTCTAAGGTTTTATTGTTTTTTCCTTAAATGAACAAACTAGGGAATTAAAATCTCTCAAGTTAATAAACTTTTTCGTTTATGTTTTGTGGGAGATCCCTTGACTGTATTGTATTTTGTTTCCATTGTCAGTATTAGTGTTTTAAACACTTAATACACAGAAACACATATTTGTAGTCAGTTATGTTAAAGTAAATTCATAATGTGATGTCATCAAAAGAGGGAAATTTGCATCATCAGCTGTTCTTGGCCTATAAAAGCTCTCATGTTGACTTGCCAGCACAACTGTGCCAAAATAATGTCAAAGAAATTTGGAAAATGGTTAAAAAAACTAAAAAATTGAGAAAAGATTATAGAATGTGTAAACAGTGGTATAAGAGAGTTTAAAGTAAAGGCCACAAATAAGAAAGCAATGTTCTTTTGTTATTTTATACTGTAAAGTAAATCTACTGCTAAAATATATTATTACATATAGTTAGGTGTACAATATATCGTCAGGTGACAAGTAAAACTCACTAAGTACCATATTGAAAGAACAGGGTTATTGGAGTTTTAAACCATATTCTACTGTAAAAAATCCATTTTTGAGTCAATGTTAGAACAGAAGGTAATTATTTTGAGAAACCATTTAAGCTACCTTATCTTATGGAGTTTCTATTAAAATATTCTATTAAAAAATGTAATTTATGAATTTTACCTGCAGTAAAATTGTCTAAAAACTCATCCTATGACAGAAGATAAACTAAATGTTATAATAGACAGTACTTATTTTGAGAAACAGTTTAAGCTATCTTATGTTACAGAGTTTATATTAAAAAATTGTGTATTTTTCAAGTTTTTTAAGAAAAATGTAATTAGTGAATTCTACCTGTCAAAATATTGTCTAAAAACTCATGCTGTAACAAAAGGTACACTCAATGAAGGAAGGAAGAAATGTTAACTCAATGTTATAATAGGAGGTACTTATTTTGAGAAAAAGTTTAATATATATCTAACATTAGAGTTTTTATTAAAAAATTGTGAATTTTTGACCTTCTTGAGAAAAATGTAATTAGTGAATTTTACCTGCTGAAACATTGTCTAAAAACTCATGCTATAATAGTAGGTAGACTCTATAAAGGAAGGAAGGAAGGAATTTAAACAAATTTTCACTTATTAAAGTAATTGTTACAACTTAAGAACAGCAAACAACAATAAATACTGATTAAGTCTGAATAAACAAACTGAACTAACATAATCTACAAAATAGCATGCAATAATGACTTTTACCTGTCAGAGTCTTATTAAACTTTGCAAATAATGAAATGTTTCAAATTGGAAGTCTGTGTTGAAACAATGTTTGTAGCTAGTGACTTTTTCCGGACAAAGATCTTAAATCATTAATGGATATGGTGATAAAATGTCAATTTCGATCATTTTTGTACTTACTGAGTTTTACTTGTCAATTGACTATATAAGTAAATCAAACCTAGATTTTCCCAAAAGAACTGCTTATAAGTACATATTTTTAGCTAGGTATATATCAAAAAACAATTATTCCAACAATACTATTGTCAGGAAGGCCCAATGTATTACTGACTCTTCAAGAAAAACAGGTGAGTACATACACTTTTCAGAACAGTTTGACTAGGTCTAGATTTTTATGGAAATAATATAAATATGTAGTAAGTATAGATATCATTGTTCCAAGTATATATAGAATAGGAAATCCTTATGATTTTAAATCACTTTTATCAGTGTCTACATTCAAACTCTTAATGACAGAAATTTAAGAGTCTTTCCACACATTTACATGTAGCACCTGTTGCAGAAGACTGCTGAGGTTCCCAATTAAAAGGGAGACATGCTTCTGCAGTTTGTGCCCTACAATAAAGAAGCACATGGCATCTACTAACTTTTACAAGTGTGCATATGCCTTGTGTGACAAGCATTAAATAAAAATACCAAAATATGTATGGAATTTGGGCACTAATGGAAGGTTAGTTATATTATAGTTATATGTACTAATTTGTATGTCCATCTGAGATTCTGTTGTGTTTGAAAAGTATCCATTTTATGTTTATATTAATGTTTAAAGCTCTCTTAATGGAAAATGGAAAAATTTGGCCACACAACCCCTTGATGACAGAACTAAAAATGACTTGAGTACTAAGCACTAAAAGCAGGGCAATCAAAAATTTTAGCTCATTGACTGTATATTTCATACACATTAAATTAACAATTACTAAAATTTATTATTTATTTATTATTTATTAAAACTCTTAAATATTAAACAACATTGAACTATTGATCAGTGTGCAATATCCTACAAAAATTAAATATAATTCTTTGAAAAACCTACTCTGAACAAATATATGTTAACTACATATTTATGTTTGTTGCTTTCATAAAACACATTTCACTACCAATTATTATTTATTTATGGTAAGGGTTACATAAAAATGAAAACAAAACACATGAAATTTATGATATTCTATTTATAGGTATATTCCTTTTGAAACATATTTACGCGTTTTTTGACTTCAAAGGTCCATTAAACTAATAGGATGCCTGATTAAAAACGGTAATTAAAGATAGATGTTACCTATTTTTGGAACACCCAATACAATCAGTTATTACAATTTCAACATGTGTTACTTGACTTTAAAGCGTTATTATGTTAAAATATTAATCATTATGGAAAGTAAAAGTAATACTGGTGAATATTCAAAACAAGGAAACACCCCTGTAGGAGCTGCCCACTCAAAAAAAAACACGTTGTTTGTGTTATTTAATCATAATATCTTTCTTAAAACATGCAAAAACCACAATAAAATTTGAAGCCGGATAAAAATTGATCTAAAAATAATCTATAATCTAAAATTATGGAACACAACGGTAGGAACTAGGTTGTGGATACTTCATAATTACATTGATGAGTAATCTATTCCTGAGAAAATGACCACAGTTCTTGTTAAACATGAAAAGAAAAAAAGGAGGTTTAAACCAAAGGTGACTTACCTTATCACATAGTGTTTTAACTTGGTTTTCCGTTAATTGCTTGCAATCATTTAGCTGTTCTATCCATCCATCCAGTTCCTTACACGACGCCTTATCGTCCATTATTACTATGTTTTTTATCTTTAAAATAAAATAATTAAATTACTAACAGATGAACGCACAAACTGAACACCAACTCAATTATTTATATTCCTCGCTAGCACTATCATTTGGTAAATCTTTCTCTAATCACAAATACAACACACCAAAATGGCGATATCTTAGCATAGAAGATCATAGAACTGATAAAATGGGTGAACTGAGAATTGGAGAGGGGTGACATGCATTCGGGCGCCAAATTCGAATGAAATATATTAATTTATTCTTACCGTATTCTTTTCAATTTTCTCCACCGGTTCAGCAGCAGGACATATTTTTTGAGGTGGCATTTTTTCAGCTTTAGACACATTTGTGTTTTTCATTGTTTTATTATTTTGATTAGTTCTTCAAATTCTAAAAGGAATTTTGACAGTTATAATAACAGAATTAAGGCATTTTAAATTTTGAGGGAATTTTACGCAAGTAGCTAATCGTTTACGTGGTGACGTCATGCAAATAATATTTATTTAAAAATAACTTTTGATACTTATTTGTTTAATGCTAGATGGTTTTACTAGATGTTATAAAGCATGATACTTTTATGATTGTAGTGGTTTAATTTGTAGTTAACATTTAAATTGTTTAATTTCAAATTGTTTTATGAAAGCAAAAATGCACTTTAAAGATATGCAACCAATATTACGTGCATGTCAGTTTTATAGAACATTTTCCTTGGTTGGTATCATTTGATCTAGTAACTAAGCAGTGTTGCCAACCGGAGAGAAATTTCCCTTTTTGCAGGAATTTTTGACACAAAAAAAAAGGAAAAGGGAAAAAATAACTCAAAAGGGAATATTTACTCCAGTGCAAATTGTAAAATATTCTTTAACAAAATTTAAAAAAATATTTGAAAGAATTAAACATATCACCCCCTGGTAGTAATTGAAATGTTCCTAATGTTCTCCTATTTGGGTATTCTTAATGATAACAAAACATTATTTGGTAATCATAACTCTCAAGCACTTAGTGTCAAAAATTAAAATAGATGATAGTTGGGTAATCTATTTTACAGCCAGATCACTATACTTATATAAATATTATTATCTAAATAGGTACCCATTCCCCAAATCAAAATATAATAAAACTTAATGAAGGCTGATGTAAGCACTTGTCCCAATAAATTCGTCTTTATTTATTAGGTACTTAAATAAAATTATGGTTGTTTGAATACATATTGTAATGGAAGTGGGAAACCCACCTACATTGTCTTATTTGACACTTTCTGTATAAAGTGTTACTTCTTAATAATTATTGAAGTTTAGAGCAGATAACAGTAAAAATGAGTGACAATAATAACAGTAGTGATAGTGAGGCTGATGTAGTCATCAAATAAAAAAAAATTAAAATAGATAGATTAGTGGTTACGAAATCCTTCTTTTACAATCTGTCACATAATAATAAAACTTTGTCACATAATAATAAAACATGTATGTGGAAAGTGCAGAAATTTTATGTGGCAAAAGTGAACTTCTTTAAAACACCAAAATGTCGTAAAAGGCGTGAAAATAATATAAGTGTCTTTTTTGCTGAACATAACGTGGCTAAATATACACAATCTTATATTTCTGTTATAAAACCCATTTTGTAAACGAGAGGGAATTTTTTCATAAAAGTGGGAATTTTTAAGGTAAGTTGAGGGAAAAAGCTTGCAAGAAGGTTGGCAACACTGTAACTAAGAGTAAGTAAAGTAATAATAGTACAGTGTTGCCAATCGGCGCATAATTATGCGATTTGCGCATAATTTATTATGCGTATTATGCGCATAATTGCTGCATAAAATCACATAATTTCGCACAATCCAGCAAAGCAAAAAAAACCAATGACAAGCCACAGTTTATAACATAGATAAATAATATAATAGTAGGTTTATAATAAGAGTCCTCGTCGTCTTTTTTCTTTTAAAACAAAACGTTTGTTCTGACATTTTACACAGCCACATAATAATAAACAATGGACCGCAGGAGTGATGACGTAGATTTGATTGACATCTGTCAGTTTCACTTTCCAAACAAACGTTTTTAGTGTAGATAATTTGTATTTTTCGTTATTTTTTAATTTTTTTACAGAATCTTTCCACTTCTTGCAATATCTAAGTATTCTAATATTTACTACAACAAGTTTACAAGGTTGTGTAAATAATAAAGCATGTTGTTTTATAAAAATAAGAATAAAATGTATGCATCAATAAAGTAAGGTTCGAATATCCTTAATGTATACTTTTAAACTATATTTCATAGAAATAGAACACTGAATTGTGATGGTGTTATCGTAAAAAACACTATACTTAAAAGAAAAAGTAGCAAAGTAAGCAAAATTTTAACTTTATACTTAGAAATTAAAAAGTCTTGAGATTTGACAATTCAACTATTGTTTGGAAAGTAATGACAACAATATGACAGATGTGACGTCACACTCCGGCTGTCCATTGTTATTTCTTCTGTATCTGTGTTCTATCTTTAGCAAATAAAAATTACTTTATCGAAGAAAATTTTAGATACAGGAAAACATAAATAACTTCCTATATCAGAAACGATATAAGAAATGATACAAGAAAATGCATAGTGTCATACACAAACCATACATACGAGAGTATGTATACTTCATCTAATTTAGATAACGACTTACGTCATTATCTACGTCAGAGATCAAAGTTGACATAGTTGCCAAAATATAAAAAAATCCTGACTCCATTTTAAATCAAATAGATTACATAATTATTGCAAAAGTATTACCATCTCTTTACAACGACTATTTAAATTCTTACGTGACATTTTTGAAATAAAACACACTAATTTTGTTCTAAAAAGAACAGATTTTATTAAATAGTTAAAAATATAAAACAAGAGATATTCAATTTAAAATTCAAAATAATGAAGTACAAAAAGTGTCAACACCGCAACTGTCAAATAAGTGTTACCAATTTATGCCAAAATTTTACCTTCGTTCGATTACAGTTACAGTGTGTTCCGAACAAATGCTCTTGATAAAAACGATTTATAATGCATTTATACAAATTAAATGAAACATATTATTGTGTATTTCTGTAAGTTAACATTAATAGAATTTTTTAAATATTATTTCTACGCTTATATAATAAAATATGTCTAGTGGCTGTAATGCCAGTGTACTGGGTAAAGTGATTCTAAAAAAGAACACACCTACACCCTAAATATTTTGTGTTGGTATCATGTGACGTTACAGGCTATGACGCCGATGACGTGCATCGTTATATAAATTCAGAGATATGTAAGAGAGTCTCTCTTATGATATGTAAGATGTCTCTTACATATCTCTGTATAAATTAGATGAAGTGTATGGTTGTGGTATCATAGGGCCTTTGCAATGACAACTGACAAGACGTGACAGATGACAGTGAGGACATATAAATATGGTTTGTTGATTACTTCTACGTTTTACAGCAGAGCGCATAATTTTGTACAAAATCGCATAATTTTTGACAGGGAGGTGCATCCTTTCATGCCCAGCCACTGGTAACACTGTAATAGTAGCACAGGTGAAGTTAGTGAATTTAGAAGTGCAGAAATTTTTATTTTACTTAAATTTCTTTAGAAGAAAGTGTTGATTGTTTGTGACATATTAACTAATATTTGCCAATTATGGGGTGAGTATATAATCTTAGTGGATAGTAAACTATAAAAGAAATATATAGGGAAACATAACCTTATAATTACATACTTTTTGTAATTGTTAATATTTTCCTTTTGATTATTTTTTATTTTTATGTTAATATAAATTATTATGTTAAGTAGGTATATAATGAAGTAATTAACTATAATTATTTTATACCTTTTTAAAGTTAAGTAGCATTAATTGACGAATTTGGGGAATTCTGAAAAAAATGTGTTTCCTCAATTTGGCATATTTTATAGTGATTACAGATTTGTTTATCAGTTTAATATTTTTGTTTTTTAAGATATATTATAAATCTTACCATACACTTACATTTTAATTGTTCTGCATGAGATCATCATCTATTATTGATGTGTGAAGGTCTTTTTATATAACTTGAGAAAACACAGCTTTGACACAGTACATTTCTTTTTTGATAAATTAACACCTGTTTGAAATTGTCACAGATCGGTAACGTTCTCTCTATCATAATTAATATAGTTCCAAGTTTGTAGATCTCCTAAAAATAGTTCAAAAGCAATACAAACAAGCTCAAGAAAATTTAATCCATAGATCAAGGATATTGTAGACTTTTACTTGACTGGTTAATGGTTCATATCTTGTATTGAATTTTATTTTAATTCTGGAACAATGATTTAATTAGTGTTACTTTCATGGAACTCTTTCATAGCAAAAATATTTTATTTTTGCTATGATAATAATTTTAGTTTTATTTTTTTTAACATTTATTTAATGACTTGACTATTATCTTGAAGATTGTGAGATTAGGGTTTCCTTTTATTTTTAAGGAAAAAAGTAATTTTAGAAGTTACATACATTTAGATTTAGAAGATAGCATCAGTAATAAGAGAGATATAGGAAATTACATATGTTAAAAGGAGTAAGTAGTTCAAATTTCTAAATTGTTGACATAAATTTGATTTTTTATCCCTATTTGAGTTTATACCCTATCTTAAGGGTATCCCCTCTTAAGATGGGCAAAATACTCTCACTCCTAGAATTATTATTTTTTCATTTTTTATGCTATATGTGATCAAAAAATAAGGATTAGTGTAATTTTAGACCCCCACAACCTACCCACACCCCCTACCATCAAAAACATCAATTTTTCCTTTTTAAACTTATCCATTTTTTTATATTTTATTTATTTATTTATGGGATGTCCTCATTTTTACAAAATTTAACAAAAATAGAATATGCTAACCATAATACAAGTACATACTAAAACTAAGTATTAAATAATGATTAAATAATTATTGTTAAACAAATGATTAAATTAAGTGAATTAAATTAAATTTCCTGAAGATCTTAATAAAATGAATGATCTTAATAAAATAAAATAAAATGAAATGATCTTAACAAAATGAAATGAAATGAATACTCCCAGTTAAATATCACTCATCTTTGATTCCTAACATACTCAGTAAAACAGTGCTTAAATCTTACAGATTTTATAACCACAAGATCATGAGATTTGCCAAAGCCATTTCCCAGGATCTGAATCCTGTTAATAGGAGAGAATTTGCCATAGTGTAATAGTGTTTTATAGAAAACAAAGGCATGTCTCTAAGAATTCTAGTGTTACATCTAAAGTTGATAAGACTTAATAAATCAGAACAGTCAGTGGTATGGTCAAGTAGTTTATGGAGAAAAATTAGATCACATTTAGTTGTGTAGTCTTCTAAGGAACTGATATTTAGTCTTGACCTTAGTTATACCGAAAACATGTTCCTTAAGAGCGTAGGCACAAAACTATAGACCCTTAGGTTGAGTGTGCTTGACTTAAAATTGCATTTTTTTTTTCAAAAAAAACATATAACTTCTTTTTTCGAATTGGCTACAGGTCCAATTTTTTTTATTTTGTGTGTTTGATCAAAAACTTTTTTTTAGGTTTTTCCATGTTTTTTTTTTTGGGGATTTGATATATTTTGAAGTCTATAAATGGAGAAAATCATCCAAAACCCCTAAAAACCAGTTTTTTGGGTTTTTGGAGATGGCGCACCTTACAAAAAAAATCTGAAAAAAAATTAGAGATATAGTTTTTGATCAAGTATACAAATTAAAAAAAAATGGACTTATGGCCATCTCCAAAAAAAGTTATGAGGTCTTTAAAAGATGCATTTTTAGGTTATGTAACATTCATTCTTCGTACTCCTGGCGACAGTTCCTGAGGTACTTAAAAATGCCCTCTCGTCGCCGAATCGACGCCCCAACCCCTACCTGCTAAACCAGACCCTCACCTGTCATCCAGCAATCCAGAAGCGCAATGGCCGCTAAACTAAAAAAAAAACAGTGTTAAACATTACACCCGATTAGTATCGAGATATTATCAGACACATTGTGTGTAGCAATGAACATGATATTCCCTTCAAATTGCTCCATTTATCAAGAAAAATTGATTTAAGTAGTTTAACTCTATGTCTAAGAGTTTTGCTAGTACGATTCTACTAAATAAAATTTCCTGAAGTATAAATAAATAAATAACAAAATAAAGCAAATTTTGGTTCTTTAAAAATGATATCCCAATTCCGTCCCCCACCCATTCCTAGTTAAAATGTATGATTTTTTTTTGTAAAACATTATTTAAACAGTACTAATATCTGTTATAATAAATTTATTGAGATAGGAACATGTTTATACATTTTGATACATAAGTGCTATCTATTTACACCTCCAGACACAAATCACAAACAAAATTTTTGACCTTGGTTGAAGTTGACACATCTCATGGCACCACTTGAAGCATTCCGAACACATTATCCATTTTTCTCCTCGCTTGTCTTATGAAAAACCTTTTCCACAAATGACACATGGTGCATTTCATCACCATAACTATCCTCATCATCGGTTGATACCAGTGGAACTTCTGTTTCATCCTCAGAGTCACTTGAATTTAAATCCCACTTCGGTTTCTTAGCCTTTGATTGCCTCTTCTCTTCTGCCATTTGTTTCTTTTGTAAAGAGATTTTGAAAGAAACTTTATGAGGAGATCCAGTTACCAAGAATGAAGTACCGGATCTAGAAGATGTGGAAGGTTCGATAACTGGAACATTCTGGATGTCTCATGGACTGACCACTTGAGGTGGGACTGGAACATTCTGGATATCTTGTGGACTGACCGCTTGAGGTGGGACTAGAACATTCTGGTTGTCATTATCCCGTCCATTGGCAGGTACCTCTTGCTGTTCAAGTTGTCTAGCAATAAAATCATGCTCCTGAAAGACATCAGAATTAAATGGATGGATCCCAGTCTTCCTAAACCCATTGATGGCTGTTTCAAGAGTAGCTGCACGAAGATATGCCTCACAAAAGAGACTGGATATTTGCAGTTTCCTGACAACTCTATTTAGGTTACTAACCAACCATTGTTCTATAGCTTTTGCATATCTAGTTTTCAAAGGAAACATAAACAATACATCCAAAGGCTGTAGCTTGTCTGTTGAGTGTGGAGGAAGGTAAACTATAGATACTCCTGACTCACTGCAATATCAATAAGTTAGAGATTTCTAGTGTGGGAATAGTGACCATCAAGGATAAGCACAACAGGATTCTCTTTTGATGGGTTTACAATGGAACTGAAGTGTTTAAACCACTTAAGAAACAATGGACCAGTTACCCAACCTGAATCTGAATAGCCACCTATCGACCCTGAAGGAGCTCCTTCAAGCAATTCTTCCTGCTACCTTTTAAGTGGAAATATTAACAAGGGTGGAATATACTGGCCTGCTGCTGACATACAGGTTATGACTGTGGTTGTGGATCTATGTTCAGCAGATGAAAGTTTATGCACTTGCTTTTTCCTCTTACAGGTTACTACTCTAGTAGCTTTGTGCTGGACTACAGGTATCCCTGTTTCGTCTACATTAAATATTTTGGAGGGGTAATAGTTTATTTTCTCGAGTTCAGGCTTCAGGATAGAGAAATACTTGTCAAAATTTTCTTTTGTGAATCCTTTAGCTCTAGCCATTGACAAGTTCTGTGGTCGTCTGAGGGAAAGCTCTGGATGGCGTTTGAAAAACAGTCTAACCCACTTTTTGCCAGCAGCCTTTGATTCATTCGAGAAAGGATGAGGTACTTGGTTTAAAATGACTAGCTGGTAAGCCAATCGCCTCAGGTCAGAAATAGTCAGTCCATAATAATGCTGCTCCATATCCAGAGAGTGTTCGACAAGACTTTTCTCAAGGTCAGCTGTAAAAATTGGATTCCTTCCAAATTTTGATTTCACACATTCCTCTGGTGTGTGATCAGATTTGACAAAAATTTTTAAAATAGCCCTCGGAACACCAAAGGTCTTAGCAGCTATTTTATATCTCATTTCTTTATCTCTCACAGCAGTGATATCTCTCACCATGGCATCAGGATTCCACACTTTGCTTTGTGGCATCAGGATTCCACGCTTTGCGTTGTGGCATCTGAAAAAATTTAGACCCTGTATTGATTTATCAATTTACGCAATTCTTAAAATCTTCATCTTTTTCACAGAACTCTAAGTTTAATTCATGGCTATTCAAGACTAAGGTCTCTACATGTTAAAACTATTAAAAAATATCGAAAAGTGATTATATATCCATAAAAAATAATTTAAGTTGTCAGGGAAAATTAAAATTTATTGAAAGAAAAATATATGAAAAGATTCCTTAATTATAAATTGATATATACCGATCACAGAAAATTGCAGTTACAAAGTAATGCTTTACATCGCAGAATGCCTTTTGACCAAGTCAATTAACAGCTCATTTTCGACACATGAACATTTTTTACTAATCTCTGTTGAATTTTAAACGTAAGCACGAACTCTTTGTGGTCATTTTTAAAATAGAGTATGTCGGTTTCCGTTGAAATTTGCCCGTGAGTGTACCGTTAAGGTGCAATTCCTAAAATGGTTGCTTTCGGTTTCCGTTGACGGAGTACCCTAGTAAACCGCGACTTTAGACTATTATGAGTATAAAAACGCTTTAAATTATAAAACGGACACTGGACAGTTAAGTAACATATATTGTAATATATTAAACAAAATTTATAAATATTGAAAATAGCTAACATAAACCTTAATAACAACTAACCTTAATAATTCTTTAAAGAAATATCATTCTTCTAAAGTTTCTTTTATTGTTATTTTTTTTTACATTTGAAGTAATTTTAATTTTTTTTATTGTATTGCTGTGACGAACGTGCTTAAGACAATTTAATCTTGACATTAATAACAACCTTCAATGTCAGTTTTTATTTGTGACATTTCTGTAAGTGTTTTTTTAAATGTATTTGTATCTCGCCCACATAAAATTATGATCTTGCGCCGCCGCTGTCCTACTTTGACACCAAAAGAAGTGTACAAACTTATACCCAGATGAATCAGGTGTACTTCAAGGTAGTGTACTTCGACCTGTGCTGTACCTACTATGCACCATGGATTTCCCACAAACACACTTAACGAAGGTAGATACATTCGCGTATGATACACGCAGATGATAGGAAACGTAGGATCCTTAGTATCACATCAAAATGCAGACACTGAAACGAAAAAACTACAAAATTTTCTCAAAAAGATCGAAGAAAAAGCTGAAAAAATAGAAAATGAAACCAAATGAAGCCAAATCCTTCACAATGAAAAAGGATACCTGCCCACCGGTCACAATGAATGGTATATAGCTTCAACAAACCAATGACGGAAAGTACCTTGGTATGCGTTTAGATCGACTTATGACGTGGAGAACACATATTCGCACAAAACGTAAACAATTGGGATTAAAGCTGCACCAAATATACTGGTTCATTGAAAGGAAATCCAGACTAAAAATATAAAATAAACTCCTAATCTACAAATCAATCCTAAAGACGCCATGGACATACGAAATAGAACTCTGGGGTGCTGCTGGTAACTCAAACCTTGAAATCCTTCAATGATTTCAAAATAAGATAATAATAGATCTCCCGTGATACCTGCCCAATCATCTAATCGGGACATACTTGAAAATATCATCGTAAAAACCTCAATAACACGTTATACCGTGATAAACACAAACATAAATCCGGTGATTATGGTAATGCGCTATAGTAGAAGTCACAGTTAGACTGCAGTGTTAGTCTCACGGCGTTGTTAAGCGTTTTATCAACCGTTCTACCGTTTTTTCTTTTAAATCGACGTTGTTTGAAGACGCATACCTTTTCTCTTGACTCCACACCATCTTAATCGGATTCAGCTCGCTATGGTAATGCGGCAGTCTCAAAATCTTAACGCCATATTTTTCCTCAATTGTTCCAATTTTGTACATGTCGTACTCGTCTTTAAATGCGGCCGCAGTATCCAATAATTCATTTTTTAGGTAATCTTGATTTAGGAAATTCGTGATTTGTTTTTTGTTCCACAATTTTTTCGGGAAATCAAATTTGCTTTGAACATTTGAAAGATTTGTTTTTCGGCAAGTTTGGAATTAACGTCTTTTCAAACCATTCTTCATTTAGATCCCCGTTCATTTCGTCGTGGTAATCAGCGGTTCCCTTCTTGACCAAGAAAGTCCAGCATGACGAAGAAGAAACTGATGACCTCTTTGGGTTAGAGCTTTCAGTCCAGTAGAGAGCCCTTCTATGAAGGCATCTCGTGGATTCTTGATCGTTGTGTCCCTCCATTCCTTTTTGACTGAAGCACCGACGTTAGTCCAAGACTTATCGGTATGAACAAGGTTTACATTATCCTTCTTCCTCAATGTTTTTATTTGTCTGAGGTACTTGTGTCTCCAGGATATGATATCTTTTCTTTCCATCATTATCCAATCTCGACTTCTTTTACCATATTCAAAACCCCTGTCATTTATAGTGTATTTTTATGTATGAGAGAGTAATAAAACAATAAATTATGTATGCAAATCCCTAAACTGTTGATACGGGTGACTCAATGAAAAACAGATATTTGTCAACAAGTTTACAGAAGTATATAGGAAAACAATTTTAAATTGAGTATGACCACCAGGTATAAAGGTTGGAGCAGAATAGAATACAATAGTTGTGAGGGTTACTAATCCCTAAATAAGGTTGCCAGTGTCGGAGTGATGGAGGTTAACAGGTACTAATGAATTTGCAAGAAATGTAAGATGTTTATTTTATTGGTTATATATAACCAATAAAAGTTTAATAAGTACCTACCTATTTGCAAAATAAAGTTTAATTCTTTAGATAAAATAAAACGTTTTATTTTATCTGAAATGAGTGCATTCCACGAAGTAAGGGTTTCAACAATCAAACATTTAATTCTTTAATTCCAGGAATCTACGACAGTAATTGACTAGATAATTACCTTCTAAACTTATTCCACAGAAAATGTGATAGTGGGTTTTTCCATTTTGTAGGAAGGTCCAAGCGGCGTATTCAAAATTCTTAACAGTTCACTAAAAGTAGGTACTTCAGTTGCAAGGTGCAGTTTATTGTGTATACTAGTGTTATGGAAAATTTGGAAGTGCCGTGTAAACGCCGAAAAATTGGTCCTTTAACAGTTAATGAAAAAACATTAATATTTAATTGTTTTAAATTATTTACAGACAAACGTTTATGTGAAAGTGTTGATGAGACCGTTGAATTAGTTAGCAGTAATAAGGGAAATCTACGATTTACAGAATTATTAAAGAAGAGAAATGTGATCATTTTCAAATGCCACGTAATGCTCCAGGGAAACCAAAATTTCAAATAGAATATCATTTTAAAGAAGGACTTCGACGGAAAGTGCATGAATTCTTCTTTAGACAAGAATTTCCAACATTGGATAAAGTTCTTGTCTCAGTTCGAGATGATAAGGATTACCCAGAAATGAGTCGAAGTACGTTATGGAAACTTTTAAAAGAAATAGGCTTCCGCTGGAAAAAGAATCCCAGAAAGTCTATTTTATTAGAAAGAAGCGATATTGTCATATGGAGAAGACATTTTCTAAGAACCATAAAGGAAATGAGAAACCAAAAAAGAAAAATATTTTATCTTGATGAAACATGGATCAACGAGGGTCATACACCAAATAAATTTTGGCAGGATGAAACTGTTACAAGTCAAAGGCACGCTTTTGTAAATAACTTATCTACTGGTTTAAACCCACCATCAGGAAAGGGACGCAGGCTGATAATAGTACACATTGGCAGTTCAGACGGTTTTGTTGAAGGTGGTTTATTAACTTTTGAATCAACTCGTACCGGTGACTACCATGAAGACATGAACGCTGATGTCTTTTAAGAATTGTTCGAACAAATGATAGATCTTCTTCCTAAGAACTGTGTAATAGTAATGGATAATGCAAGTTATCACTCCAGACTTACAGAAGGACTGCCCACAACCAAGTGGTTAAAAAAAGACTTGCAGAATTGGCTGAGTTCAAAAAATATTACGTACCATCCCGGATCTATAAGACAGGAACTTTATTCGTTGTGTGCCGTTCATAAAGAAAAATTTAAAAAATACGAAATTGATGAAATTACCAAAAATCGTGGAATGACAGTACTTAGATCCCCACCATATCATTGTGAATTAAACCCGATTGAACTGGTATGGGCACAGATAAAGAGTGAAGTTTCAAGAAAAAATACCACTTTTAAAATTCATGATGTTAAACAGTTGTTTTTGGAGGCCGTAAATAATGTAAAACCTGAAAACTGGGAAAAGGCAGTAAATCACACTATTAAAGAAGAGGAAAAAATGTGGAAGCTGGACAATATTACTGATAAAATGATCGAGCCAGTTATTATAAATCTTGGTTCTGAAAGTTCATCTTCTGAATCTGATTTGGATTTGTAACAAGTAGCTGTAAGTTTTGTATTAATATTTTTATTCATCTATTTAACATACCTTAGACGGTTTTAAAAACTCTTTTTCTCTTTTGTAATTTTTAAAAATTAAAACAAATGTGAATTTTTTAAAACCCTTTTTAATGTAGGCCAGTCAGTTCTAATATAGTGTGTGATAAAAGAGGTCACTTTTGTTTACATACACATAACACTTTATAACACTGAAATAATTCATTTATTTTTTACAATTATTCAAAGTAATTTTTCAATTAATCTTGAGCACGCCCATGGAGTGGTCAGAAGGTACCAGTTAAAATTATGCTAATTACTCTCTCGTTCATAAAAATAAACTATAGTAGCCTCCGAAATGTGGTTTTTGAAAAAGCTGGTAGGTCCACATCATCCTTCACTCTGTTCATTATGCTGTCGACGGTTGGTGGTATGTTTAAAAAAAATCATGGACAATTTTCCTTATTCCAGATTTCACTCATCGTAAGTATTCTCACGTGAATTGTACTGGAAACTGTTTTTCTTCCTTTTTTGTACCGGTTTCAGTTCGCATTTTGAAACTTTTTCCACAGTAATAGTGAAGCTGTCAGTTCAGATGAGAGTTAAATACATTTAACACATGTTTTACTTGCACACTAAGAGTCATACCCTGTGTGAAATTCACGACAGATACTGGCAACTGCTCCATAATGTAGGTACTTTGTATTTGCAATTATAAAGTACCTACATCAAGTATTGTAAATACCTTTGTAGGTATTTGCAATTAAATGCTGGTAACTTTATTACTAGCGGACCAGATAAGCGGCGATATATTTTACACTATCTTTATGAATAACATTTTGCTGCTCTGTTGTCTCAATCAGCACTGCTCAACAAATTATCGTTTATTGGTTTTCGCCCCACAACGATTTCCATTACTAATGACCGGGAATTTAAAATCGTTATACGCAGGTGGTCACTTTATAGGAGTGGTCGCTTATAGAGGTTTTACTGTATTAGAAAATCTATTATTTTAATTCTTACATATTTTTTTTATTCCAGTGTTGTCACCAAATCGCTGACAGTGGTCCTTGGTCTAACAGCTTGTGGACTGTCTGGGTATTTTTTATATCTTCTTCTTCGTAAAGACGAAGACGATGATTATACAGATACCTTTGCCAAAGCTTCAAAATTTAAAACGCACGAAATTAAAGTTCCTAAGGACGTCGTTAGCTCTTTGATAGGCAGAAATGGCAATAATATCAAGAAAATTCAAGAACAATCAAGCACTAGAATTAATTTTAGAGAAGTACAGGGCAGTGACGATAGGATTTGCATCATCAGGGGATCTGTGGAGGCTTGTCATATTGCTGAAAATTTAATTCAGGTTAGATATTTTAATGATTTTGTTCAATATCCCACACGAGTTTTTTTTTAATATTTAGGTTACATTTGATTATTAAAATATAAGTTTGAGAATAATAATATCATAATAGTCAAAAAGAATGCGTGATTCAGTTCAGCGTCAAATAAACAATACGTGAGTTGCCAGTCGAAAAATCTCTTGCGCGACCCTGTAGAGTCAGCAGAAATTATCCTTATATTGTTCTGAAGTTATTTTCTTGTGGCATTTTAAATTAATTACAATTTTAATGGGAATAAGATACAATTAGATAGATATAGATATTAGATAGATATAGATAGATAGATTATACCAGTTCTGTCAAGAACATGACATGATAATCACAAATACATGGTTCAAATTACACAAAAGAAGGTTATACACATGGAGGGGACCAGGAGATAATTCACTACATATGATTAGAAATCAGATAGACTATATTCTGGTAAACAAGAGATTTAAGAATGGCGTCACCAGAGTAACGACATATCCTGGTGCAGATATCGGTTCAGACCATAACCCTGTAATAACTGACATCAAAGTGAAGCTCAAAAAAGTCCAAGAAAGCCCCAAAACACCAAAATTTAATATCTCAATATCCAACAAAACGTTAATAGAAAATGACTTAAACAATGAGCTAAAGAAATCAATAAATGAAAACAACACAGAAATATGGAACACATTTAAAGATCTTACCTTGAAAGTAATAGAAAAATACTCAACAACGTTACACATTCACAAAAAACAACAATGGATGACTGATGAAATCCTGGAATTAATGGAGCAGAGAAGGAAACTGAAAGGTAACAAGACAGAATATAAGGAAAAACAGAAACTAATTAAACAAAAAATAAAGGTGGCTAAAGAAAAATGGATGGAGGATAAATGCAAGGAATTAGAAAAGTTGAATGAAAAACATGATACGTTTAATATGTTTAAAAAAGTTAGAGAAGTAGCTGGTCTTTATCATAAGAAAACTCCACATACTATAACCGATTCGACGGGAAAAATGATAATAGACGAACATGAAATTTGAACAACCTGGTGTAATTATATAAGTGAACTGTATAATGATGATAGACCCGTAGAACCGGAGACTTTAGTTGAAGGTGAAGGACCAGAAATACTAAAATCAGAAATACTGCATGCTATAAGTTAGCAAAGAACAAGAAAGCCGTTGGCCCTGATAACATACCGACAGAGATGTTAAAGCTTATAAATGAGGAGAACATTGGAATACTGGTCAAACTTTTTAATGATGTTTATTCGACTGGTGATATCCCTGAAGATTGGTTAAAGTCTGAATTCATAACACTACCAAAAAAAGAACGTCCGAAAAACTGTAGCGATTATAGAATGATAAGCCTTATGAGCCACACTTTGAAAATATTTCTACGCATCATCCACAGTAGAATCAGAGATAAATGTGAAGAAGATCAGGATGAAACACAATTTGGCTTCAGAAATGGACTGGGAACTCGGGACGCCCTCTTTGCACTAAATGTATTACTGCAGAAATGTCGAGATCAAAGGAAATACGTCTTTGCTGTATTTATTGACTATGAAAAGGCCTTTGATCGAGTACAACATCACAAATTAATTACAATATTAAAAGATAAAGGAGTTGATAGTCAAGACATACGATTCATAGAAAAGTTATACTGGCGTCAAACAGCGACAGCTTGCATAAACGGAAAATCAACAGAAATATGTAAAATACAAAGAGGTGTCAGACAGGGTTGTATACTATCCCCACTGTTATCTAATTTATATTCAGATAGAATATTTAAAGAAGCGCTGCATAATTTGGAATGGGGCGTGAAAGTTAATGAAATTCTGATAAATACAATCAGATATGCAGACGATACAGTTATTTTAAGTGATGACATAAATGGATTACAATGCCTTTTAAATGCCATTGATACAGTGGGAAGAGAGTTTGGCCTAAACATAAACTGTTCAAAAATAAAACACATGGTGTTTAGCCGTTTAGCACATCAAGATGCACGATTCTATGTTGATGGTCATATAATTCAAAGAGTGTCCAGTTTTAAATATCTTGGTTGCTATATTACTGAACAACTAGATCCAGATCAAGAGATAAAATGTAGAATCGAGATAGCCCGCACGACATTTTTAAAAATGAGGTCATTCTTCTGTAATGATAACTTGAAACTTCAACTTCGAAAGCGTATGGTTAAATGCTACATTTGGTCAGTCCTCTTATACGGTGTCGAAGCATGGACATTAAAAATATCCACCATTAATCGTCTGGAGGCATTTGAAATGTGGCTGCACAGACGTATACTAAAAATTCGATGGACGGCTATGCTGACAAATGTGGCAGTCCTTGAGAGAGCAAATGCTGCTCGCGAGCTGCTTGATAACATCAAATGTAGAAAGATGGCCTATTTTGAACACTTAGTAAGGGGAGACCGATATAATATTCTTCAACTTATTATGATGGGTAAAATCGAAGGATGCAGAGGAATTAGTAGAAAGCAGGCCTCTTGGTTGAAGAATATCAGAGAGTGGACAGGAATAAAGAAAGCTGAGCAACTCTTTAGAATAGCTCGAGGCAGAGACAGTTTCGCCATGTTAATCGCCAACATCAAGGGGACCTGATAGGGCACGTTAAGAAGAAGAAGAAGCCACAATTGCATTGAAGTAAGTTTATTGACGTTTCAATTTCCATTTCGAAAATCGTTCTCAAAATACAAACAGTAATAAATTCATTATAAAAAACCTTTTTGGTTTTACGATAATATTATTGTTAGTAGTTTAGACACTGTCTCTTGTTTACGCTATCGAAATTACCCTGGTTATGATGTAATGTTAAGTTATCAACCAAGAACGAAAAAGTACAATCTTTAATTTTGAAGTGCAACTTAGAAAATCGGTTGGGCAGTTTAGGATCTAATCCCTCCAAAGTTTTACTTCTGGTAAATTTCATGAGTTTCGGCTTCCGTTAAGATCTATATTTGGAGTCCATTATGTAACTATACCTAGAACCTATTGCAGTATATCTCTGACCTTGCTAGTAAATTTGCCAATAAATGATATCTGTTGTTGCTGAGTCCAGCTATTCACCCGTCCATAGCCAGATTCCACAAGAGAGGAGCTAAGCGGACAACATCTGGCTAACTATACCGCCATTGTATCTTCAACTAACGTTGTGAATATCACGCGATTCCTCAGAATGCAATCAATCGATCTGTATCTTGCTTCCACTGTTCCTTTTAGATTTCTCAGGAGAAATCTTTTAGATTGTTTCTCAAGAGGTGTTGCGAAATGCTCATTACATATCGGGAAGTGTATCCAGCATCACCTCTTGGTTTTCCAAGGGGATCTTTGGCATCTTTGGAAAAATCAAGTGCAAGGTTTTCAAAGAAATCTGTGTTTTGATCCCATTCCTCATCATTTTCTTCATCTTCACTATCTTTTGATACAGATGGTTAAAAATGTAACGGAGATGTAGGGAGAAAAAAATTACCTGAATATTGAGCATGTGAAGATTCCAAACAGGCTGTATTCACACCAGAAGAATCTGAATAGTTGTCTTTTAAATTTTTAAATTCTTCAAAAGCACCTTCATCTCCTTCTTCTTCTGAATGTTCCTCATTATCAGGTAAAGAATATAAATAAGCTAATGCAGCTTCAGCATCTCTGGGGTTATCTAGATCCCACATTTCTAAAATAAAATAATAAAAAAGAACAATGAGTAGGGCGGTGGGAAGCATATAACCCACTTACAAATATAGATTTAATATACGTTAAATACTTTCTATTATCATTGTTTTTATATGAATGTATCTATAAAAGTCAAAAGAATAGAAAAATAATATATAAATCCTTAGCACTCACCTTAATTTTCGGAAACAGCTGTCATAACAGCGTATACTCAAACATAAGTATGAATGGTAATGTAAATATCTGTGCCTCGGCTTTAAAGTAATTTGGATATCACTACTAGCTGGCAGCAGCTTCAAACGATGGAAAAATTCATGAACACTACCTGTAGACGTGATATTATATGGTGGGAATTATACTTCCCACTTCCTATGAAAGGTTTAAATGTAGCGAGAGACCTCCAGATCTTAAGATATTACATATTTATTCGGTCTGCTCTTACATTTTCTTCTTGTAGCAAATACACATTATTACGTGATATTAAATTTTTTGTATTCTTCCATCGACTGAATAGTTCACTTCTTGTATTCCTCGTACAATTCTTTAGTCATCTAGATTTGAGTTTTGTTACATGTTTTAATAATAATTCTGAGAGATATGTTGAAGTATTATTTGATTATTTAAAGCACTCAGTTTTTATTTATTTACCGAACAACTGAAAACTAAAACATATTAAAAGATAATTTTGTTTCAGGGAGAATTCGTGTAAGTTCGTGAAGTATATGACTTTAGTATTTATATAATTGTAAATATTGATTTTTTTGTACATTTTATTAATATAACAATAAAACAAGATTTTCTAAATGATTTTTTGTCATTAGATTGTGTATTATCTCTCCTTCGTACATATTATCACATATTTATTTCCACCGGCTTCTATCCTGGGCTGCTATCATGAATTCAGAGAATGTCTTTTCACTGTTTTTCTGCACTTGATCTGTCTATCGACCTTCAACGTTTCTTGAAATTATCAGTTTCTCAAGATTATCATTGTTTTTTCTTGAAATATGTCCAAAAAGATTTAAGCCGCTTGCTAGACAAATACACGAGAGTCGAGTCTGAATGTTAAGATCTTGGGGAATGAAGGATTTGTTCTGTACTCTGTCCATGAGATCAGGGAATTTCCCTGTCTTATCCCATTGTCATCTTCATTAGAGTCGGTTAGTTCTTCTTCTACTTTTACTTTTATTATGTTGTTTTGGTAGATGGATAGATTTTGGATATTTTCGATCGTTTTGATTATTGCTAGACGTATCTCTCTTGCGTGCAATAAGTGGATAACCTTTTTTAATTTGACCCGGTCAAATGCCTTCGTAACGCCACGAAACATAGATATGCCGGTTTGTTGCATTCTAATGATGTCTCTTACACTTGCCTCATTATAAGTATAGCGTCGCTGCATGATCTTCGCTACCTAAAACCTTGTTGTTCTTCTGCTAGTGTTATAATTTTATTCAGTTTATTTGTTACTTTCAGATCCGATTTGTCTCCATTTTTGAAGAGAGGTATTAGGATGCTTGATCTCCATTCTTCAGGAATTCTGTTTTTTTCTATCATTTTTTTGAATTAATTTTAATATTTGTCTGGTCAGATCTGGTCCTCCGTACTTTAGCAGTTCATTCGGTATTCTGTCTTCTCCTGGTGATTTTCTATTCTTTAATATCCTTAATGCTTCCTTTACCTCTTTCTCCTCAATATTTATGTCTTCGTTTATCGTCACCTCTGGTATTAGTGGTTCATTATCGTCACCTTTAGCAAATACGGATCGAAAGTAGTCTACCCATGTTTCCTTCTGAATATTTCGTTTTTATTAGTTCGGTCATCTCTTTTCTTTATCATCTGATCATTCTCTATCTGATCTATCTGATCATTTCGTCTTCACTTTCTCTCTAAAACATGGTGTTTCCTTTTTTGATATATTAGTGTTCGTTACTTTCCTCTCTCCAATTGATTCTGTTGCTGCGTTGTTATTTTTGAGTTTTTCCCAGCTTTCCTCGATGTTATCGTTTTCTAATATTGCATTCCCAGCGATCTTCTCTGATATTCTTTTCCTGTATAAGTATTCCATGGATTCCGTATTTAGTCTTTCGACTTTGATTTTTGTTTGTGTTTGCGCCGCTCTCTTTGGTGGGAAGTTTTTCGGGATGATTTTTATTTTACATACATCTGCTGAGTTGAGGCATCCTACGTCGATTATTTTCGATGGCTGTGTATCTCTGTTGGTTATAACATAATCTATCATAGATCTTTTTTTTGTGGTGGTCTTTGTGGTCAAAAAATGTGTTGTTTATTTTTAGTTCGTTTTTCGCTTAGTTCGCCCATTTTCGTTTTTAGCATTCTCGTTATGTTTTTGTTTAATGCCGCGTATTACTGTAATTGGTCATAAAACGCTTCCCTTATTGTTTGAGGCTTGATATTTTCTAGGCCGTATACTCCGATGATGTTTAGGTCTTCCTTCTCCATTCTTATCTTTGCTATTACTATTCTTTCTGATACACCAGGCACCATACACCCACATCTCCAGGCCGTTAATTCTTTGCCTCTCGACCGATTTCATTGTCCATGTATCGGACCCGTAACCGGTAACTTCTCATTTTGTGCCCTTAGAATGTTTGTGCCAAAATGTGACTATGCTATCTAGTAGACTGTTTTTTATTACGTCTAAGTACTCCGTACTTGAGTTCCCATATCATTAATTGTGTCTGGGTGTGATTGTGTTAAAATTATGTAATTTTTTCCCACGAAAATAACTGTGTATTGTGGATGCAGCTGCACTTTATTTCTCCCAAGTACCTAATAAATATGTCTATATTACCATAAATTAGTCTGGTAAGTATAAGACACACAACTGTCCAGATTTCAATACTTTATTATTTTGTTGTTGCGATGATGTTGTTGATGCATTAAAACTGTGTTTTTGCGTTTCTAGCTTATCTTATTGGTCCTGGTAACTTCAAAACAATATTTGTAGCACGAGTTCTTGAAGTAGGCGCAGAACACTCTTACTTCTGTCTTTGCCAAGATAAATTGATTTTGAAATTATTTTTTCTTCATCTTCTTCCCCTTGAACCTCTTCTTGTTCAGACATGGTACATTCTTGTTCTAGAACATCATCAGATACATGTTGCTCAACATTATAGTCATCTGAGCAGCTGTCGTCGTCACTACCATATACAGGGTGTTTCAAAAACAAGGTAACCCCGTCTCTAGGGTAGGTAAAAAACTGAAAAATAATTGGGGTTGGCTTAGTAAAAAATTTTTGTAACGCCATCCGTTTTCAAGATACAGGGCGTTGAATAAAAAAAAATTACGCATTTCTTACGATTTTGCCGAAACTACTGGCAACATTGTAATGAAATTTTATACGAATATGTTTTGGAAGCTGATACATCTCATGAATTTGTTTTTATATCTGATTCTCATAGAGGGTGCTAGTTACACGGATCATACTAAGTATTAGTCATTATAACTTTTTTAAGAGTATAATTATTAATCAAAATTTCAAGTAAACTTAAACATCATTCAATTTTACACGAAAAAGGTACTCTTGGTAAAACTCGATACTGTGTACCGTTTTCGGAATATTTTGATTTAAAAATTATGAAGTAATAATTGATGCTGGTAGTAATCATAAAGTTCTAATAGAAATACCTCTATTTTCTCCAAGTGTGCCATAGAAATTTGACATTTATTGATTATTATGACGATAAATCAACAATAATTGGAGTTTTGCAACCTTGTTATTTGTAAAATCAAATCAAAATGTATCCAAATGTTGAATACACTGACATGTTATTAACCTTAGGCGAATGTTCTAGTGCAGTTGTGACACGTTAAGCAGAAAAGTTACCAAGTAAAAAAACATTTAGAGCCGTTGAACGATGTTGTCGAGAAACTGGGAATGTGAGACCAAATAAAATAAATTTTGGTAGACCAAGATCCAACAGTTAGCGAAAGGAATATAGCAAGACAAACAAATACTTCTTCTTCAAGTACTTATCGGATACTGAAAGAACAGTAATTACATCCTTATCATTACAGACAAGTCCAAGAGCTCTTGCCAGATGATCTACCGGTTAGAGTGGATTTTTGTGAAACATTGCAACAAAGGACAGTCCACAATCCAAATTTTTTAAAATGCATTCTTTTTACGGACGAGGCCACTTTTACGCGACAAGGTATGTTTAACTCGGACTACGCAGTTTGTTCGTATATTAAGGAAAAAGTCTATGCTACAGAGGTAAATTCACGCCAAGAATTGGAAGAAAGAATTCAACGTTAATTTAATGACATCATAGATGATCCTTTACCGTTTAGAAGGTTAATGGAATCTTTAGAAAAAAGAATAGACTTGTATATTCGCGAAAACGGAGGGCATTTTGAACACTTACTGTAATTGAATTTTATTTTATGTTCTTCTTCATTAATTTAATTTTCTTCTTGTGAATTTTGTTTAATTACTAACTATTTTATACCAGCATCAATTATTACTTCATAATTTTCAAATCAAAATATTTCGAAAACTGTACACAGTATCGAGTTTTACCAAGAGTACCTTTTTCGTGTAAAATTGAATGATGTTTAAGTTTACTTGAAATTTTGATTAATAATTATACTCTTAAAAAAGTTATATTGAATAATACTTAGTACGATCCGTGTAACTAGCGCCCTCTATGAGAATAAGATATAAAAACAAATTCATGGGATGTATCAGCTTCCAAAACATATTCGTATAAAATTTCATTACAATGTTGCCAGTAGTTTCGGCAAAATCGTAAAAAATACGTAAATTTTTTTTTACTTTAACGCCCTGTATCTTGAAAACGGATGGCGTTACAAACATTTTTTACTAAGCAAACCCCAATTATTTTTCAGTGTTTTACCTACCCTAGAGACGGGGTTACCTTTTTTTGAAACACCCTGTATATTCAGTTGCTGTTCATTCTCTATTTCATTATTCCATTCCATCGGCATTTTTTCAAAATTAGTGTCGCCGAATCTTACTTTTTCTGGTCGGGATATTGCTGATAACTAAAACAAAAATAAAAAATAAATGTTTGTTACTCTTTTTCACGCAGAATACCTTAACCGCCGAATACAAAATGTAATTTTTAGTTTAAGGTTACGTAAGTTCACGCGTGGATTACAATGGTAACAGAACACAATATATTTCTTACACCTACACAAATCAAACGGTAGTAGCATACTAAAACAGTTTCTTCTAGTAACTTCCTTATACTATGCCCTGAAGGTATAAGGAGATAGGCAACTTTTTATACAGTATAGTCCAAATAGCAGTATTATAAAATTCAATGGATTACTGTAGTATATACTGAGTACTGAAGTACTGCTTTTTGACATTCTTTTTTCTGAACTATTATTTTCATACATATACTACAGCAAATGGCATTGGCAGACTATTTTTTGCATTAACTGTGGTAATATAAATAGGAACTATTGTATTCTAATAATATGCATTTTTGGTATTTCTTTGCCTGATTAAATCAACATATATACAATTTTCTTTTTAGGATTTTATCACCAACCAGCCAATTTTGGAAAGTCATGATATGTGGATACCTTTTGCATCCGTAGGTAAAGTCATTGGAAGAAATGGCGACAAGATTCGAGAAATACAAAGTCTGTCTGGAGCTAAAGTGACTGTAACCGATGATGACAAAGCGTTGAATACTAAGAGAGTAACTATGAAAGGTACGCTACAGATTTTTACTTATTATTTAACCGAGTATCAAGTGCTTTTAGGGTATTAATCCATAAAAGTTCGATGTTTTTAAGTTTCCGAGAAAAAACTGATATTTAAGTAAAAGAAACAAGAAATATTAAACATTTTTACATAGAACTATTATGATTCCTATACCCTATCCGACATAATAACATACAGGGTGTTTCAAAAAGGTATGTAATAAATTAAATCACGCATTCGGGGGACAAAAATAAGTTGATTGAATTCAGCTTACCTTAGTACAAAAGTGTACACAAAAAAAGTTACAGCCTTTGAAGTTACAAAATAAAAATTGTTTTTTTTGCATTATCTAATATAATATTGCATAATATATCATAATATTGCATTATCGTTTCAAATCAAATGAATTTTGTGGCATCATTAGTTTACCACATTATTTTTAAAAAAATTTTGCCTCATTTTTTTTCAAAAAACAGTTTTTATTAAGTTACGGGCCTTTTCATTAACCTTTAAAAAATTACGTGCAACTAAATAAATGGGCTAAATGAATTAACAAGCACAAAAAATGTCTATAACCTCTATAAATATATTTCAATAAATGTTCAAAATGACCCCCGTTTTCTTCAATACACATTCGGTATCGATTTAATAAGGAAAACCGAATGCGCTGAAAAATCATGTTTTTCTGATGAAATTAATTTGCAGCTTCAATTATTCTAACCCTCCATTGTTACAGAATACACTTTCTGTTTCATAAACCCCAAAAGTAAAAGTCTATGGGGTTAAGACCTGGACTTCTGGGTGGCCAAGAAATAGGTGCGTCACGACCCCTTCCAATCCACCGACCAGGATACTGCAAAGGTATTCCCGCACTTCATTACTGTAATGCGGTGGAGCGCCATCTTGTAGAAACCACATATTTTGCCTTATTGCAATATTCACTTCTTGAAAATACTCTTGTAAATCGTTGCCAAGAACTGCAAATAGTTATCACCATTTGTTGGGAAGAAATACTGGGCCTATTAGATTGATATCCACAATTCCTGCCCAGACAATAACTTTGAAAGTCCTTTGGTGATGAGTCGTTTTTTTGGCGTGAGGATTTTCGTCGGCCCAAATGTGCTCTTTATGATGGTTTGTTATTCCATTTCTACTGAAGGTAGCCTCGTCGGTAAACAAAATATTTCTAATAAAATTAACATTTCGAGTGTTTTCTATTATCAACCAATCGCAAATCCAATCCTTTTAGGATAATCTTCAACCAATAACTCTTAAACCGTTGTTAAGTGATAGGATTTAAGCAGCTGATGTCTTCATCAGTTGCATTCATTATTGGACGACCACTATTGACAGCAATTTGCGGTTGGAATGTACCCGTAAATAACAAAATCCTCAATTTGTAATGGAAAGGCACCACAACTATTGGAATTATGGTATGGTATGGGTACGCATTTTCTGCCTTATATACGAATGCTCTGCAACCAAATTTTGCAATAATAATGCGAGGCCACGTACAACCAGAATTACATTGGCTTATTTTTAAAACTGTGAAGTCTATTTGGTGCATTTTCTCGCTAGATCTCCCAATTTTTCATCATTTAACACGCCTGGCACATTATGGGAAGAGGATTACTCTGTTTATCTCATCCTCCACCGACTCTAGCGGCACTTCAGAAGGAGATGCAAGTATCATGGGATAAGGGACCTCAAGAGAAAATCAATCATCTTATTAAGAATATGTCCATACGTATTTCTGAGTACAGAAGACATTGTGTAGGCCAACACATTATGAATTTTTTACATTTTTTCCAACAGTTGGATTTGATAAATTATTTACCTAATCCTGACACACATGTTTACAAAAAATTGTAGTGATAAATTCAGTATCAGTAGGTGCTCTTTTTCTATGTCACTATATAATAAAATATTTTTTGTTTAATTTTTAAAACAGGTACAAAAGAACAAATAAACGTAGCCAAATCTCTCGTCGAAGACATAGTGGAACAAGTACTAGAACAGCAACAACGATTAGAGGCGTCTTTGGCTAAAAGGGAACCTCGACTACCTCCAAAATCTCCCGAATCGAATAAACGAATTGAAAGTCCCCGAGGTGAAAGAATGTCTCCAATACCTGGTACGTTTATTAAAATAATACTATAATATAGCTGTTTAATTGTATCATCGTATGTTTTATTGTTAAGCCTAATCATAATTATATCAATATTTTTTATTATGATAAATCTTAAGGCTGACTTTTTATTCTAATAGTAAAATATGTTTAGATCGCTATGTATTATCTGTAAATCAACTTATATGCAACAATTTTGAGAAGTAATGTATGTTGTTTTGTGTAAAACTTAAAGGTCGCTGGTTAAATGAAATTAGAAATATTCGAGGAAGAATGCAATATTTGACTGTAAATAAAAGTAGCAAAAAATAGCAAATATTTAATTCTGAATAAATTACGAGAATTAGCTAGCTTAACTGATTACTGTTATCTATACAAAGATTAGGACTTACCTCTTGAAATATTGGTGTATTAATCATAGCCAGTGGAGTAGATTTGTAGTGTTAGGACGTCCCGTGCTTACTGTACGCAGTCTTGGTAGCGAGTGTTTCTTGAGATGGTCAGAAAGAACCCTCTAACCGTTAGAGACATGTGTACCCCCATAAATCAGCGCTATTGTAATACGCTTTGAATGGCGATAATTCTAACTAAATAGTCACAGTAATATGATACTTTACACGTTCTGTGTGTTTTGTAGACACAATTATCTCCAAAACAATAAAAGAAGTCAAATTATTTGAACAAACTAAATGTGTTTAAGCCAGTTTAAGAATAAGATTTTACTGAATAACAGGAAACAATATATTTTAAACAAATAAGTTGGAATATACCATTAAAGTAGATCATATTATAGTAAAAGAAAGTAAAACAATGTAAAATATGAAAATAAATACTACATACTTTCCCAAACATGTTGACATTTTGAATATGTCAACAGAAAGCATGACTAGCTATCTTTTGTTCCCAAACGTCTGTTTTCGTTTACACTGCATTCATTTCACTCTAATTGGAACCCATTTGGCAGAAGTACCGACGAAGACTTATTTATCAGAGTTGTCACGCTACTTTATTATTTATCCTAATGGGATATTTTGATAACTTCTGATAACTTTATTAGTAAAAGTGTTTCTTTAATTTTGTCACCCGTTAGCTGCAAATATGGCAATCACCCAGTACCTACTTTACACATCGTTTAGCCTGTTATTATAGGTTACTGAACAGCTCTTTGTTGAGTTAATGAAGTCATCCTCTATGTCATCTAGTCATTTTGTTGCTGGTTTTCATCTGAGTCATCGGTCTTCCATTTATGGGTTTTACTTTCGGTTCATGTGATCCATCCATACATCCAATTGCACTACAGCCTAAATCGGGCATTGGCCTCCTTCAACAAGCTTCTCCAATCATTTCGATTTACCGCTGTTCTTTTTCATGAACGCGTTCCCAGGCAGTTCCTGGCATCCTCATCGACTTTCGTCTTCCCATCTCTTTTTAGGTCTTCCAACAGGTACTTTTTCCGCATTCTTGCATTTTGTAATTTTCTGGGGATTCTATTCTCATGCATGCGGACCACGTGCCTGCCCACCGTAATATCTGCAGTTTAGTGTATTATGCTAGAGTTTAGTTAACGCTATATTGCTCGTAAATTTCTCTATTATATCTAATTCGCCAGTTGTGCTTTTCACTTATTGGGCCCAGTAACCTACGTAATATTTTTCTTTCAAACGCGTCTAATGCATTGGCATATTTCTGTGTCACCACCCATGTTTCACAACCATAACTTACTATGGGCCTGATTATTGTTTTATAGACCCTGAGTTTTGTTTTCCGGTGTACGTCTCGCGATTTGAATATATGGCCCATCGCGAAATAGGCTTTATTTGCCAGCATAAGCCTTCTATTTATTTCCGGTTCTTCATTGCTTGCGACCAGATCCATTCTAGGTATGTGAATCTATTCACATGTTCTATATCGTCAATAAAGTGTTGTTGCGCCGGTCTGTTTGATCTGGTTTGTATGAGTAGTTTTGTTGTATTTGTATTTATTGCTAGCCCTACTGCTTCTGCACTCTGTTTCAACTCAACGTAGGTTTCTTCCGCTGCATTTACTGTTCTGCTCATTATGTTTATATCATCTGCGTATGCTGCTACTTGGGTAGATTTATTTGTATGTAATTTCTGCTCACCGTCAATCGTCTAATTACATATTCAAGAACAAGATTAAAGAACGTTGGAGCCAGTCCGTCGCCTTGTTTCAGTCCTTGCGTTATTGTAAACGCATCAGTGACCCTGAATTTTGATGGTATTCCAAATTCTTCCAATATATTAGGTAGAATTGTTCTATCTATTGAATCATAGGCTTATTTAAAATCTACATCTCATATTCCCATGCTTTGGATAGCATTTGTTTAACTGTAAATAGTTGGTCAATGGTATGTTCTATTTTGCCTACACCCTGCTCGATGTTCCCCGATGATTTTTTCCGTGAGAGCTTGGAGTTTTCATGTGATCCAGTCATCTTAATTTAACACTCTTGATTAGTTTATTAGTCCACAATATTAGTTTCTCCATATAGCACATGTGTTCCTTTCTCTTTCCTAAATCATAGTGATTTTATTCTTGTTTTATTTTGTATTAGCATCAAGTTAAATGAAACTTAATTTTGTCTTCATCTCTTTCTAATATACATTTACACATGTGTACATACACTAACTATATTTATTGATATATCCACATTCTCTCTTAACTCGTCCACACAGTCTACTATCCAAAATATTCATAACATTTTCAATAATTGGAGCTTCACATTTAAACTAATATTCCATTAGCCAATGGACCCACGTTAGCCTACCTTTCCTTATTTCATTCTTACATTTCTATTCACCTATAATGGGACTACACCTAACCAACTACATTCCGATACACATGTCTATATCGACCTTTGTGTGGTTTGTTCACATCTGAGTACATGTATTTTACACTCAGATGTCAATTTACCCTATCCTATCCCAGATGTCAATTTACCCTGACCATAGGCTACATAGGCAACAAAGCATACAATATACTAACTAAAAAATCTTTTCCTCGAACCATTTTCTTTCTTCACTATTCAACAAGTATAGAATTTAGCTTCAAACTAATTTGCTGATATATTTGTACGTTTCAATTTACCTGAGAACATGACGTCATTACCCACATTGTGAGTGATAAATTTAGGAGTGATCATGGTCCAAGGAGAAGGCTTGGGAAGAAGGAGATAGATTTAATTTAAATAACAAACTTTTACTGAAATAAAAAACAAAGATCAAGGTGTATTTCCGAAGTTGTTGGTCTTTAGCCCTCATAAGCTTTTCCATACGACAACTTCAAAAATCTTAATGTGTAGGTACAGTTGCGGTCACGGAATAGTTTACACCTTACTTTTTATATTGTAATACTGTAAAATTGCAGTGTCGTACGGATTTGATAAATGTCAAAGTCAAAAAATTTCAAAATGTCAATGCTTTCGCGAGTGTTCAACAATAAAATAAAAGTATATTAAACTCTTCCAAAATGGTTAGAATACATTTGAATTATGCGCAAAAAGCAAGAGCAATTGCCAAACTCGAAGAAGGTTGGTCACTAAGGCAAGTTGCTGCTGATTTGAACGTGAGTCATATGTGCATATGGAAGATTAAACAAAGATGGGATAATTTTCACTCTATAGCACGGTTGGGCGGTTCAGGAGGGCAGCGTTTCCAGGCAGTATTCGCACTGCACGTCGAAGAATTAAAGCAAGTGGACTGCTAAATTGTGTAGCTGCACGGAAACCTTTTTTGACTGAGGATCACAAGAGGAGACGAGTTGAATTTTGTAATGAATTTATAAACCGCGATGAGAATTTTTGGTCTAGGGTTGTATTTTCCGATGAAAAAGTATTTCAGTCGTATAATAATGGTCGAATAAGAGTTTATAGGCCGAGAAATCATAGGTATGATGAACAGTATACGCATCATTTAAGAAATAGTGGAGGATTCTCTGTCAACGTATGGGGATGGATAAGTGCCGAAGGCCCGGGCGTTTGTTATCATGTAGAGGAGAAGTTAACAGGATTATATTACAAACATATTATTGAGCACACAATGTTGCCATCGGTGATCCAGAGATTCCCCAACAACGACTTTATCTTCCAACATGACAATTGCCCGGTGCATACGAGTAGAATTGTTCGAGAATGGCTAGAAGAAACTGATGTTAATGTTCTTCCGTGGCCTTCCCGTAGTGCAGACTTTAACCCCGTCGAAAATGTGTGGGCAGAGTTAACAAAGAAACTAAATGAAAGAAACCTTAGACCACGGAATAGAATTGAATTATGGGAAGCAATTGAGCAGGCATGGGAAGAGCTTGTTAACTATAACATGAGGGGATTGGTGCTATCTATGAACAGAAGACTGCAAAATTGTATTGACAAGAATGGGGCTTCCACCAAATATTAATTATTATTTATCATTGTTTATCGTTATTTAATATAAATAGATTTAAAATAAAATGCATATTAAAAAAAAAGACTTCTTTATTTTCGTTATTAAGATCATAATCCATTTTATTCAAAAAACTGTTTTCTATATTTTTCATTTTGTAAAATATTTTGATATTTTGATTTTAATCTACCTATTCTAGCTAGTACACCACTGGCAACGTCACTTTGACGTAAAAGGGTGCGTTTAAACTAAGTAAAAATTTAAAAAATGGGCTCCTAGATACGTGAACCTGTAAACTATTCCGTGACCGCAACTGTACATGTTACATCAATGTTTGTGGCTGTTGTATAGGTTTTAACACCTCCTATCGAGTCATTTTTTGAGTTAAGTGAATCGTTGCTTTAATAGGCATCCAAACATCTTCGTTACGCCGTCGTGCTCGCCTGTTGGTCTTTTTCGGTCGTTACTGAGCTTCATCGCTTTTTGCTAACTACTCTTTAGCAGTTGCTCCATCTTCGGACGTGTAGCGTGTATAACGGGACCTGTTCCATAGTTTCCATAATCTTAATGAAATAACGACCATAACCGAGTATAAAAATTCTCGGAAAGTCTGCCAGAAGATAATGTAGACTTTGTGGCATCTCCTGTATATAAGTTGATAATTTTATATTTTGTTTTATTCTTACTAGGTCAGCCTGAAGCACCGTTTGAAGTCTACATCTCCGCTATGGTGGATCCTTCCCGTTTTTGGTTGCAGATCGTTGGTCCAAAAGCGACAGAATTGGATTGCCTCGTTGAGGAAATGACTGAATACTACGGAAAAATCGAAAATAGAAACATGCACGTACTCGACGAAGTTAAACAAGGCGATTTAGTAGCTGCGACATTCATGTATGACAGTAAATGGTAAGAAACTAATCAGAATTTTATTTTTTTTCATTTATTATGGTTGTTGGTTAATACCATCACCGAATGTTAATGCGAGATAATGGTAAAATAAAAGTAGAAGGTATCGGCATAGCTTACAACAAATGAAAAAAAAAATATAATAAAACATGTGCATGTTTCGACCTGCTAATTATTTATTTCTCATCGGACAATATTTCTTCGTTTTCCTTTTTTATTCGATTTATATCATTTGTTTCCATCATGTCAATAGTTTCCATGTGTTTCAATTTGATTTATATCATGTGTTCCATAAAAGAATTTTAGATTGTCTATCTCTCTCCATATTTTCGCCAATTATATCTCTTTTGATTTAGTTATGTGGTCTTAAACTTTTTTTCTTTTTATTTTATATTGTTCATAGTTTTCGATTATTCTGATATAAGTATATGAATCGCTTATTTATGAAAGGCCTCTTGTCACAAAATGTAAATTTTGGAAAACAAGAAAAAACTGTTTAGTTTTATAAAAAACGATTTTATACTTTCCTGATTTTTCGAAACATTTTAAGAACCTTAAAACTCAAAAATAAATCATGTTAGTTACACTTTTTAAAATCAATATTATTATTTTTTTATTATTGAAAATAGCTGACAAACGGCCTTTCATAAACAAAAGTGTTGTTTTACGGGAAAAGTTTTGATTGGTGGATGAATTTACACCGTGTTTATTTATAATTAATGTTACTTTATTAAAACAGTTCTAAGACAATACAATTAGCTACAATTAATTGCCATTTTATACATTTTGGCTCATTTTTTCGTTGCAACTCTAGGCCATTGGGCAAGCTGCAAAAGTTTCTTCAGGTCATTAATTTTTTCTTAATGAATTAGTACCTTTAATTCATGAGTTTTTCTTGCTAATGAGGAAGGGGAGGATGGCTCAGCAATAGACAGTGGATTAGATAATAATTTGAAGGTTTTGCTAATAAATCCACCTATGAAATCAGATACAACAACCACTCCTTTTTTAAATCTTTCGCAAGTAAATTCATGGTAGGAAGAAATAGTAAACATTTCCTTTTTTTGTTTTTCTCAATTTTACTTTCTTCTAAAACAGTATTTTTTGTAAAATTTGGGCCACTAACCTTGAAAGTCCAAAACATTTGCATTTTCCACTAAATCCACAGTAAATTTTCTCTGTTTTGTAGATGAAAGTACTATTTCTGTTTTATCTTTCAAAGTGTAGAATTTATCATGTTTCCTTAGGTTTCGTTTTACAAGGCCGAAGACCCTGTCACATGGTAAATACGAGTGACCCCTTATTGGAAGTCTATAGACAACTTTTTTGAATCTTCCACTATCTGTAAGTTACATTAAAAACCTAATCATCGTATGATTTTTATTTTGTCCTGTACAGTTGTCATTGATAAGTACAATTCATCTACATTAGCTGGAACATTCTCGTCAATATACTTCTTCAAGAAAGAGTAAACTTCATTACTTCCCTTTCCAGCAACTCCCTGGTGGTATAAATAAAATGTTGCAGTGTCATTATTACTGTAGTGTATGCCAAACGGATAGACGGACAGTTGTCTAAGGTAGTATATTTCCTGCACTGGAATTGTGAGAAGCGATATGTTTGCCATACAATCAAACATCGATTCTTTCGTCTGTCGAAGGGATGAATAAAACTTTTTGCTACGCCTCTTATGCACAAGTAGCTGCGCAACTGCAACTCGTTTTGCTGTTTCATTTAACTGAGAATTTTTTATTGTAATATTGAGCAGTTCACATTCACAACAAGTGTCAATTGAAGCCTTCCAAATCTATAATTGAAATGTTCTTTGAAAAGTTTGTAGTAAAAACTATACTTCACGTTAAGTCGTTATATTTCTCTTGGAACAAATTGAACATTTTTTTTATGTCCAGCTTAGCATCTAGAGATTCTATTTCATTAGAAGAATAGTGACTTGTTTTCAGTGGAAATGACTGAATGTGTTCTTTTACAAGATCCGTATTATCATGTCGAAGGGTCCTCCGATTATTCTGTTGGCCTCTTAAATCTCTAGGAGATTTACCTTTTACAAAAAGATCTTGCAGTCTTCTTACTCTTTTTTTACCAATACCGTGCAGACTTAAAAAAGCCTTTTTGCAGATGTTGATCCTTTTCTCACGAAGCAAGGCATAGAATTTAAAAGAACTTTTGGGCATAGAACAAAATGTTTGGGCTTAAAAAAAACATCTTCAGCTTCATCTTCTGAAGTGTTTTGTTTTAATCTTGACCTCCTCTTCCGTACGTGCCCTACTTCTATTAAGGACTGGTAAAAAAGGTCTTGCTCATTTTTGTTTGCAAAGTTTGCCCCTTTGCATAAAATTTCAACTTCGTCCTATTCACATAACTTCTCGAAACATCTCAATCTGCATCTGCAACATTTGAAAAAGGTAACTATTGTGGAACTAAGCAAGGTTTTAAAACTGACTTCTAATTATCATCTTATTTCCTGTCTAAAATAGTACGTTATAAGATAAAACGTAACTTACGAGCATGGTAATCCTGTTTTGCGTGGTTCAACATTTCCTCTGTAATTTAGATATTCTTTACCACGACATCTAGCTTTTTTAATTCGATTAAATTTATATTCTTCATGGTAACGAACACCCTCTTTCGCTTCTTGCTATCTGCTTCAATTTCAACGAGATTTTCACTCTCTGACATTATTTCAAAACATAAGTTAAATCACTTTAACAATAACTGAAGAGAAATATTTTACTTTATTATTTAACAGTTGATTATAAATAAAACAACAAGAGGTTAATTATTAATCTCCAAACACTGAATATCTGTCAACAATCAGCCGACAGCGCAATGTTGCCAACAGTGCTTTTATTTATGAAAAGCCCCTTGTCACTGACACGAGGCTTTTCATAAATAAACAATAATTTTAAACTAATATATCTGATAAAGGAATAACAAGACATGAGGCTTTTCATAAGCAAACGATGTGTGAACATATGGGTTATCATTTTCTAAGTTAAACGAAAATTTGAAAAAAAGTGACATGAGGCCTTTCATACATAACCGATTCATATTTTACAAGGGGCAGGGGCATTGTTACTAGCCTTAACACACTGAACGACTGTCACTTTTATTATTTCAATTTTTATTGGAGTAACCAACTATATTAAGTTTTGTTTTTAGGTATAGAGCAGAAGTTTTGAAGATTACTGAAAACCCAATGCAGGTAAACAAGCCGAGCTGTTCTACCTTGATTATGGAGATACAGATATCTTACCCTGCAAAGAATTGTTCGAACTGAGGACAGATTTCCTTAGGCTGCATTTTCAAGCAATAGAATGCTTTCTAGCGCGCGTCGGTAAGTAAATATTGATGTAACTGTATAGTAGTTTTATTCTTTTATGTATTTAACAGTTAGCTTAATTGTAGCCAGAAATTATTAGCCATTACGATTCTTGCGTGATAACGACTATAATAACATTCTCACCCTAGCAAGCATTATGTCGAATTCTGCTCAGTATTTTTTATTTATCTGTTGTCTAACCATGAAGCTTTTTTACTTTCCTTTTATTCCCGCAATACCCTGCAGCCCTCTCATTCCAGTTATTTTGAGTCAAAGGAAATAATATTCACCATGAAGCATTTGTTTTATGTGCTTTCATCAACTACTTATCAATAATACACCAGTGGACCGAGTAAAACAATATAACTATCTTGGAACAACAGTAAATGAACAATGGGATCACTCACAGGAAGTAAAATGTAGAATAGAGAAGGCTAGGAGTGCATTCAATAACATGGCCAAACTCTTTAAAAGCCACAATCTTAATCTGGAGATAAAAGTAAGGCTCCTACGATGTTATATCTTCTCAATATTGTATTACGGAGTTGAATCCTGGACACTAACTGAAGCAATGAGAGAAAAAACTTGAAGCCTTCGAGATGTGGCTGTACAGGCGAATTCTAAGGATATCATGGACAGACAAGATAACCAAGGAGATCGTATTACGAAGAGTGGGCAAAGAAAGAGAGATGATGTATACCATTAAAAGGAGAAAGTTGGAATATCTCGGACATATAATGAGAAACAGCACTAAATACAGATTACTGAAGGTAATCCTACAGGGTAAAGCATTCGGAAAGCGAGGAATTGGGAGAAGGAGAATATCATGGTTGAAGAACCTGAGGAAATGGTTCTCCACAACAACAACGAATTTATTTAAAGCAGCAGTTAATAAAATAATTATAGCCAGAATGATTGCCAATATTCGGAACGAATAGGCACTGAAAGAAGAAGCTTTCATCAATTCATCGAAACAAATCCAGAAAATTGGGATTGAGATAAGGAAAACATTGCAACAAATGAACGAAATGTGCATCACTATTACAGGGTATAATGAGTGTTAAAAGAAGAAGAAACACGTATAAGTGTGTAGTGTTTGATTTTCATTAAGGAAGTAGTCTATTTCCAAAGAGCCTGTTTCCATTTTTTTTGTCATATAAAAAACTATTTTTCATTTTGTCTTTCTTACTCATAAATCAGATAACTACTGTATGTATTCTTAGCTTCTGTTACACGTTGATGCATACGTGTCTTGAGGCACCGTTTAAAAGTTTTCGGTTACCATCAACAATGTAATATTCATAATAAACTTTGAATGATTCCACAAATCTTTTCTATAACACCGTTAACCTCCATCAAACCAGCATTGCAGTTTGACAAAAACGGTTATATCTGTTTTATGTTCGGATTTTTCCTCCCTCATCATAGCTAACGTTAAAAGCTTCAAAGAAATGATATATTGCATCAGTAAGTGTTGTTTTTTATGATTTTTAAATTATTTTTTAGAGCCAAATGGAGAATCCTGGTCAGTAGAAGCCGTCGATCGTTTCGAGGAATGGACCCACGTCGCCCAATGGAAGAAACTCTCCGCCAAAATGAACGGTTACAGCGCCAGGGAAAAAACGAGAGCTAAACGCGAGGGATCACCTGTCCCCGGAGTGGATCTATACGAAATCGAAGAACACGACATCGACATCGCCGAAGAACTGGTCAAAGCAGGCTTCGCGGTGTTTAAGAAGGATGCGAATTTGCTGTCGAGTAGTAGAGCTACTAGTAATAGTAATATTAGTGTGGCTAGTAGCTCATAGCTATCGAAAATGAAGCGGTAGGTAGACTATTAGAGAACTCTTTAATGAGGATGATCGTGCTTGGAATATTTGAGGTGGTTCGTTCAAAAGAAAGATTGCTCAGTTTGTCATTTATACTATACATACGTGTACAGCGGACCATAGGACTTCAAAGAGAGGTTTCAAATTTTTCCCAGCTGGAACTCGAAACTTTAAATAAAGTTTTTCTAATTTTCCAATTTCTGGACTACAACTTTTGTATATTACTTAGATGGTTGAATTTTTAAAACGTAACAATACTTCAGTTTTTTTGCTGTTCTTTTATCTATACAGGAATTATTTTATCCAAAACCTCAATAAATACAAAAAATATATATACAGTGGGTGATCAAATTATTATGATCAGTCAAATAAAGTTTTTCAAATTTTTTCAAGAATTTTATAATAAAATCATATACTGCTATACGATTAAGGTATGCCAATATATTTTGTCACTAATAACCTACTTTTTTTACGTTTACAGCTCTAGAACTGTCATTTGTGTCAAATTACGTGACAACATACACATTGAATCATCGAATTAGAATCTATGGAGAGGGCATCACGTGACTAAAAACGACCTCACTTCGGCCATATTGTTAATACTATTGTTAATATTGTTTTGACACTTTTGACAGATCGTATAAATTTATTTACGTTTGTTGTTTTTCGAATATTTTAAGTTTTATAATACTTTTATAGAAACTGTAATAATATATTGTGATAGTGCATAATATTAGTTTCTTGTTCTCAACGTAGTTGCAGTAGCAGAAACAATGCTAATAAAAAATCTTCAGGAATAACGTTGTACAGGTTAGTATACAAATATGTAAACAAAGTAATGGCCCGTACTTCAGAGAATAAATTAATAGTATTTGACTGTATTAATTTATCGTTATGTATAATATATCGTGTTTTTAGTGTTTACCGCGGGATAAATAAATCATAGTTTATTAAAAATGTATTGCACTTTTTAGATTATGATTAAATCTTCTAAATAACTAGCTATATTTTTATAGTAGTTTTAATATTATTGAGTCCGGCCATGATCCCACCGCCATATTGGTATTACCGTTAGCCACACCTACCTACGCCGTTTTTAATACACACGTTATTATGCTCATAGCTTCTCCATAGATTCTAACTCGATGCATTGAATACACATGAATTTGCTCTTGGAGTTTACAACTGAATTTGTATGTTTTTGTACTGTTTTTGAAAGATTAGTAACGTTTTATATTTGTAGTATGTTTTATTAATGTATTAGTGGTGATGGTGAGTGAAAAAAAAACTATCAGTTTTAATTTTAAAGACATTTTCAAAACATTTCGATTTTTGAGAAGAAAATCATAATGGGTAAGGCTAAAGACGTTCCTGTGTCTAAAATTGTGGAGATAAAGACACTTTTATTGAATATAAAGCTTTCCCAACGTCAGATAGCTCAACAATGCCAAGTAGCGCAAGCAACAGTGAGCAATATCAAGAAAAAAATTGATACCAACAAACCCTGACTCACCAGCGTGCCCAAAAATGTGGTCGAAAGCGTATCACTACACCCAGAGACGAAAGAAAAATTTGGGATATCTTCGTAAACAATAGAAAGAAGCCAGTTTCTGACATGAAGTCCGCAGAAGGCTTGTTGATCAAGGTTTCAAATCATGTCGCCCTACCAAAAAACCAAAGTTGAACATCGTAATGATGAAAAAGAGACTAGAATGGGCCAAAGAACATCAAAATTGAACAATTGACGATTGGAATAAGGTAATTTACGTCACTACTAAAGTTTAAATCCCTATAACCACTGTTTTTATCCTAAAAAACTATCTTATAGTTTTTTTTTATTCAACGATTTGTTTCTTCGATGAGTTTACAGTGGAGATACTCATGGATTCGGACCTTCGTCTGAAGGCGAGTGGGTGAAAAATATCACAAGGATTACACAGTGGAGCGAGTAAAGCATTTTCTCAACATCATGGTATGGTCTGTCATCAGCAGTAAGGACACAGGGAGGCTGTACATTGTGAATGGAATGATGAATCAACGTCAGTATATTAAAGTTCTGGAAAGAAAGCTCATGCCACAAATCAAAGACTGGTTTGGTGAATCAGAGGATTTTACCTTTACGCACGATTCAGCACCGTTCCATAAGGCAAAAACAGTAACATCGAACCGGGAGAAAAAGAAAATTAAAGTGCTTAACTGGCCAGGTAATTTCCCATATCTCAATCTGATTGATGGGAGCTTATGAAGAGGGGGATTACCCAGGAAACTGTCCCACGTAAGCAGCAGTTAATTGAGAAACTCATTGCCACCTGGCACAGAAACGATAAAATAAAAGAAGACTGCCTGAGAAACATTCAAAGCATGCCAAGGAGGATCAAAGCTGTCATCGAAGCTAAAGGAGGTCACACAAAATATTAGAAAAAGTTGTTATTTAAGGTCAAAGAAAAAATATTTTAAAATTTTGTAAAAAAACGTGTTTATGATCTATTTTTATAGTATATTCACATCATTAGACGCTTATATGAAGTTTTATTCTTTATCAAACAGCAAAATACAAAGTTTTTTTGAAGTGATCATAATAATTTAATCACCCACTGTATGAACAGTTGTGATTCGCCATTAAAAGATATGCGGGAGTAAAAATGAAGTCATTAAAAGAGTCTATAGGAAGAAAAAGTATACAGAATAGTATATAGGAAGAAAATATTGTTCTCCCTATGTACATATATTTTTAACTTTTTCATATAGCTTATCCCACTTCACCCACTTTTATTAAAGTTAATATTTTCGACTTTTCATTTCATTTCTACGTGTCACATTTTAACGCATGCATTTAAACGACTTAATATGAAAATATACAAGCCATCTCAATTATTTCAGGAACGATTTAAGTGCCAATCAAATGTAGATAGAATTTTGTTGAGCTTAATCGTTGTGATGAGACTGATGTTTATTGTCGCGGTAGATGAATTTTATCAATTTAAGACAAAGAACTTTTATATATTTGATGGATCTGTTAATTAAACAAAAACGTAAGTTTGATGTCATGTTGCAGTTGGTAATAATAAATGCTTTCTTACTACTACCAATTCAACTTAAAAGTTTTAAGAGATGGCAGCAAACTTTCATTATAGTGAGGTTGTGTTGCGCGGGTTTTAAAACGATTCATTTTAGTGGCGTTGGTTAAGCAAGTCTTGGCAATAATATAGTGGCGGGCACGAGTTCATCTCAATAGCAGATAACGCTAACTAACAACAGTAACCAATATGTCACAAAAGGTGTGGGGTCTCAGGAGCATTAAGATGTAGGAATATCGAAAAAAATTGCTGAAAGAGCGGATGAAGTTGAATGAAGAGGAGGCTGGATCCGAACACAACATTGTTCCCACTAGGAAAGTATAGTACAGTCGTCCAGAGACAAAAATGAAACTGAACCTCTAAAAATTATACTAACAAGCTGAATTTTACCGAAAATGTCAATTTTAGGACGCTAAAAAAGATGCAAGAAAGTTTACCACTTTTACCACCGAGCTTTCTCCTAAAACCTCCCATGTAGAGGGGGAAAACCGAAAAAAATCGATTTACCAAGAATCTGTACGTCATAAAAAAATATTTCAAATAAAATATGTAGCTAAGATAATTTTGAACAAAAACGTTTATCAGCATTTTTTGTGTAGAATGAACCGTTCTCTCAGAAACAACGATTGAAGCGATCGGTAATTTTGAATGTTAGTTACGCGCGCATAATAAAATGCAAACGCAATGCTTAATAAAATGTGTATCAGATCGACGGTAAAAATTCAATATCTTTTGATCATTGCACTTTGTTAATTAAACTATAGATAAAGTCACGTTCAGATGGCAGTGTACGGATATAGGATAACAGCGTTGCCAATTCTACTGCCATTGTAAGTTTTGCTACTTTTGTAAAATAAGCAGGGCCAAACTCACGGTAAAGTAAGATATGTTTAGGTAAGCTAAAGTTGTTAATAGAAAATTCGTGAATGAAATAAATGGTAATAATTCCTAAAATGCTTTTATACATAATACCGCAGTTAATAGGGAAAAAAATATGAAAAATATTCTACAGGTTTTTTAATGTTCTAAACGGTAGATAAGGGATAACTGATGATAATTCCTTGAAGAATTACAGCCAATTTTGCTTTGTTTATTTTTTAAAGAAAGATGAAGTTTGGAAAAAATCATTTTTTTTGCCTATTTTGTTCCTCGTGCATTTTAGGGAAAAATGTTTCAAATAAATGTTGCAGATCTTAAAAAGTTTTTTAATTTTTTAGTTTGTAAATTAAAATACATAAACAAATGACTGAGATAATTGCAAAAAACCCCTAATTGAGGCCCCTAGAACACAAGGGTGTAAGTGCAGTTGCTTATCACTTAGCAACTGATATCTAACAACAGGCACGTACTTTTGGCTTCAAACTTTCTACATTAACAACAATAACACCATCAAAAATTACATGTCATTGAAAACATGCTGAAAACTGAAAAAGTGCTACCTAGGTTTTTAAATTTATATCGAACTTTGAACAAAGTCTTAAAAAGTTTTTTTAAATTTTTAGTTTGTAAATTTATAAATACATAAAACCACATGACATGAGGATAATTGCAAAAAACCCCCTAATTTGAGGCCCCCTAGAGAACCACAAGGGTGATTGGAAGTGCAGTTGCATTACTAATTTATTAAATGTTCATAACTTTATTTTTTTGCATAATGACGTCTAATATAACTATTGAAATTATATCGATTAATGAGTTATTTAAGTGTGCTACATTTCAACCAGATCAACTAAATATTTTATTACCTTTACTGAGAAAAGAATACCCCCGAAAAACAATTTTCAATCATCTTCATTTTCATAATCTTGTTCATCTTCAAAGTCATCGTTTAATGAAATTCTAATAGGTTCAATGTCATCTTGAATGTTGTCTACTGTCCAAAAATTATTCTCCAATTTTATAACATGGTTGACGTAATTTTTCCAATGTCCATTGTTCTGTAGTTTATCATAACCTTCATAAATCAATGTTTTAACGTCGTTTTGTTTGAAACTTGAATTCTTAGAGGACACGTACCGTTTCACTTCACTCCACACCATTTCTATTGGGTTCAGTTCACAGTGATAAGGCGGAAGTCTTAAGATATGTATATCTACGCGGCATTGTTCGTCACTGTGATTCCTGTATTTTTCACCAATACAATCAATTTTGTATTTGTCATAAATATTTTTAAATACATTAGCAGTTTCCAGAAGTTCATTTTTTAAGTAATCTTCTTCAAAATAAATGTCCTTTTCATAGAGCCACTCCTTAATTTGACGTTTCACCCAATATTGTTTGGGAAAATTTAATTTCCTAGAGTGATAAGATGCATTGTCCAAGATAATGACATTCTTTTTATTTTTTGGGAGATTCGGTATTAACATCTCTTCAAACCATTTTTCAAAGCCCATCCTTCATGCACACGAAAAGTGATGTCAGCACCTTCAACAAATCCGTCTTTGTTTCCTTCATGGACTAAAACAAATCTTGGTCCTTTTCCGGTCGGAGTTTTTAAATCTGTGGTAAGTCCATTTACGAAAGCCTGTCGGCTATTTTTTATTGTTGTATCTTGCCATACTTGCCCATTGGTTATTCCAGTATTAACCCATGATTCGTCCTATATAAATGATATTGGCTCCTTCGTTCCTCAGTTTCTTTATTTCCCGGAGATAGTGACGCCTCCAAGCGACTATTTCTTGTTTTTCTATTAATATTGAATTTCTACCTTGTTTGCCATATATAAAACCCATGTCGTGCAATAGTCTTCTCAACGTACTCTTGGAAAAATTCGGAAGATGCTCCATTTGCTTAATTTTTTCTAGTACTACGTCAAGGGTTGGAGGAATATTGTCCACTAGATAGTAAAAAACCGTGCACTACTTGTCTTATTCTAGACCGAGTTGCTTCATCATATCTATTCTCACGACTATTCAAATAACCGGTTCTTTTTTTTCTTATAGGAGTTACGAGTGGACCATTTTTACTTTCACTTCTATATCGGAATATCGTTCGCTCAGAGACTCCAGTCATAGCAGAAACTTCCCGCACTATTGTTGATACACTTTTATCATTATTACTGTTTGATAAATAGTTAAAAACATTTAACACTATTTTTTTGCATTCACTAATTAACAAATTACCGTTTTTGAATTTTATTACACTCGCGGCCATTTTGACACTGACACGACACAAACGTCTGATATCAACTGAAAATACTTTTAATGACTCTCAAGTATTTACCTGAATTTATAATTGCTGGCATTAGACAATAATTTTGAATTTATAAATAGGTATATTTTTTTAATTCTAAATTATTTTTTAATGTCTGTAACTGTAAATGCAGGTAGAGAAAGTGTGTCATTAAAAGGACATTAAGATCAAAAACGGATTATACAAATAATTATTTCATTTCCACGAATTGTAAACAATTTTGAACAGAAGATATAATTCCGAAAAGACCAGATTTCCGAAATATAACTTTAACGTTAAAATACCAACAGAAAAATTATATAATTAAAAAAATGTAGTATTTTTCCGTTTCACATTCATAAATATTTCCGAAATTATAATTCTTTTATAGGAGCCGGCCCATAACGTACGATTGTAGGTACGATTAAAAACTGACAACAATGTAGTTATTTCTGGCATATAGCAAGTACAGGCCTATCTCTGTAACGCTGCCATCTGAATGTGAATTTATCTATAGTACGTTTTTCAAAAGTGCTTAATATCTGCTATAAATTACACCCAAACCGTCTTCTTGGAGGCATTTCCTGTGACGAGCGATCATTTGTAATGTAAAAGTTTAAATTTTGCGTTTTTGGTCATGTTTCAAATGCCTCATGTTTGTTTCCAAAAATCAAAATCAAATTTTCATATTATACTTTTTAAAAATGATCTCCAACAATATAAATTTCTATACGACTGGTCAATAAATATAACAAATTTGATTGATCTCACGAGAATCGTAAAAAATGACAAAAATCGCGCGAAGTTTATTTATTGAACAGCTTTATATAAAAACTGACTTCATTTGCGGCAAAATACAAAAATTGCACTCTTCGCTTTTAAAACGCATTTTGATTTTTGTCGATTGGACACTCGGATCAACGATTTATTTATTCTACGTAAAAAAAATATCTCATCTACATTTTTTATTTGAAACATTTTTTTCTACGGCGTACAGATTCTTGGTAAATCGATTTTTTTACGTTTTTACTCCCCTACAAGTGGGGTTTTAGGGGGAAGTCCGGAAGTTAAAGTGGCAAACTTTTTCGCATCTTTTTTGGGATCCCAAAATGATATTCTCGGCAAAATTCAGCTTGTTTGTATGATTTTTAGGCGTTAAATCTCTGATGATTGAACTAACGCGGTTAGGTACAAGGAAAAAGTATATTGGACTGAAATACTGCGTAAAACGGCAGAAATCAACTCAAAATGTTAAGAGGCTTCCTTACTAGACGTGCTGCAGACTGTCTAGCAGAAAACCTATGAAACAGTCAACCAGTGACTTTTTGAAGAGTACCAATGACTCCCAAAGAATACTCATCCACGTGACTTATACAAGCTGACAGAAGGTTATAGAATTGTGGAATGGATATCGTTAATAAAAGGAAGATATTATTATATGATAGGCCAATTGGCTTCATTACGATCGGTTCAGGCAACTTCCAAAAAAGAATAAAAATACCTCGCAGATCCGCCACTGAATTAATGACTATTTACTCGGTCAGAAGAGTTCGGTAACCCAAAACGAAAATACAATTTTATTCAGGGTATTAATTTTAGACACGCCGAGTGACCTACTGAAAAAGACCTAGTCTTATAAGTTTTTGCTTACTTATTCTGGTCTGCATTGTCTACTAAAAACATTGATGTGAGTTATATAAAGAATATTCTTTTGAAAAACGTTTGTAAAACAAAATATGTTCACGTATTGTTATATTAATATGTACGATGTTCGTAAAACATCGATATATATCATCTTTCACTGTTATTCAAATAAAAATCCTCTTATGCATATTTGCTAGGATCGAAATATACAACATAAATTCATCACGATGCTGGTGGTATTTGAATTACATATGAAATAATATATCCTTCTTTAGTACGGCTTGTGTATATCGGATCAATACTAAGGATTTGCTATCATCGGCAAATTTTGCCGGTGTAATGTACACCTTGTTGTTCATAGTTGAATATCAATATCTGCAGTTTCAATCGGTAGCCAAATCTTGTATGTTTTAAAAATTCGGACTACACTTTATACAGAATATTTGATCGTTGAAATATATTTTATTATTCCGCAAAGACAATCACATATTATTTATTATATTCAAAAAATTCCTTGAAGTTTTTTTTATTACATTTATAAGTTTGGGATCTAAAACATTTATTTACTGTATAACTTTAAATTTAACCCCGGAGAAAACTAGATGTCAGCTGTCCCGACGTGATAGTTGTCGTTGACGGCAGAGCCGCCATCTTGACAGTCGTAGTTTACCTGCTGAATTATTTTCTATCATAATTTTAATTTGTTAATATTTTATTGATCAAATTTTATCGCATTGGCGCTTATTTAACAGATCTATCATAATAGTGAGATATTAAACAATGTGTCAATAACAATAATAATTGCACAGTTCCAAATTATTTAGAATGGTTCAGTGTGAAGATATGTCATAGATAGAAAAACGTTTTAATGACTGCTTGTTACTTTTAAGATATTATGTTTGTTGGATCCTTGCACAAGTAAGGGGTTGATTCACCCGCTATGAATTTAGAGTTGTGTAACTGACAAGTCACAATGGATTTTTCGTATTTCAATCTATTTTCGTGCCTTGAATTTATAAATTTTCTAGAAAAAAGAGTTGTTATAACGATTAATTCTACTTGAGTATGTATTTGATTGTTTGAAGTCAGTATTTATGTATTTACAAGTTAATATTTATAATATTGAGAAGAAATATGTTCTAGCCTCTGAATTAGCATTTCTTAATTCTTACGCTTATGTTTGTGCAAAGATCTAGCGAATTGTGGTTGCCCAACACGTGCCAGCTTTGTATTAAACACGTGCACGTGACAGTGGCGCCAAAAATACTCGATGAAGCAGATGAATAAGATCAACAGATTTTAGCGTGGTTACTTAAAACCGTGTCTTTTTAAACTTGAATAATTGTCATTTTGTTTTTAATTATGGGTTACAAATAGTTAGCAAACCCAATTACGCAGTGAAGTTTCATGTAACGCCAACTCGTCCCTTAGCAGTGACTAACACGTCGCAGTTTCCAATAGTTTCGCCGCTGGAATCTGAGAGTGACGGCGACTGGAGGCGAAACTTCATCGTAACTGAGGTTTGCCGTTCTAGCTAGTA